TGGTGACATATCGGCCTACATGTTTACATTCTAATGTAATCAAGTATTTTGAGGAAGAAATCTTGTTGTCCAAAACAGGGACAGTTCATTCAGAGCAGTCTATTTTGGGGTCTTTGAGTCTCTGTTTGGCCAACCATACAGCCTCAGTTGGAAGACTTTTCAAAACATTCTAATGTCGTTCTTATGGGAATAGTACTGTTCTGATGTGAAAACAATTTGACGATTGTAGCAGTTTGTACAATTATGAACCTAATACTGTAATAGTTCTGGCAACACCACCACTTACCCCAAGCCCCACAAAAAAAGAAAAGTTAATGTGTTTCTGGCCCTTTAGTTTGGCCTGAAATGACTCAATGACACAGCATTTTTGTTTGTTTTGAAAATCTCAGTTGCATTATTCACCAACGCTGACTCAAACAGTACAATCTTCGTATTCTGGAGGGGCGGTCGGGTAGCCTAGTGGTTAAAGCGTTCACTCGTCACGCCGAAGACCCGGGTTCGAATGCCGACATGGGTACAATGTGTGAAGCCCATTTCTCGTGTCCCCCGCCGTGATATTGCTGGAATATTGCTATATTGAATATTACGATAGCGGCGTAAAACCAAACCCACTCACTCACTCACTCGTATTCTGGAGGAAAAACATAGTTGTCTCCGGTATTAGAATGCCCTTTTTGAGGTGATTTATAAAAGTTGAGTGAGTAATGTTTAAACAGTACTTGACAAGCCCGAAAGGTCTTTTAATCCCCCCCACTCCCCCCAACACTGTCAGTGTCAGAACTATTGATGATGATGCCACCAGAATGTCTGTTTCATCCACAGTAATATTTGAATGGTTAAACCTTGCAATCTGTTGCCTGGAATCCTCAGCTTCAGACTCGGCAGGTCACAGCCTCTTGAAAGTCCTCATGGCTCCTGTGATGACTGCTGTTATGACAGTATTCCATTAAGCATGTTAGAGACGGCAGACTCTGGCATCCATACTCTCATTGCTGAAAAGATTAAGAGTAATAAAACTGGCAAATCCGATTCTTCATGTTAGATTAGGATCCTTGGAATCTTGATGCCCATTGTGAAATCAGTTCTTGTAGGCCACATCGAATGTATTGCTTGATCATTGAAATGCATGTTTTGTTTTGGGCTGGAGCCTGTAAGGGTGTGTGGATATGTTGATGAAGGGACGGTAAGGTAAGGGGTGTGTGTTTTGATAAGTTGACTGTAAAGGTGTGTATGTTGATTAAGGGGCCATTTGTGTGTGTTTGGTACCACTTAAAATTAATTTCCATCTGTAATCATTTAATAAATACAATGCAGTCAGATGCTTCACAAACATCTAACACAACCATTTGTAGGTAGGATTCACTTTGGGAACTCCATATGTCTATTTTTGACTGTAATGGTCTCTGACCATACCCAGTCTGGTGTCACTTGTGGTTGAGTCCTGAATTCAATTGTTGATATTTCTCTGACCTCTGACCCAATAATTAAAGGTTTTGAGTCCCCTGGACCACCAAGATAACAAACCCAGGTTTATTTTGTTAATCTCTAAGATCCAGATTTGCCCCAATTATTTTTCTTGGTTTGTCAGCACTACACCTGTGCTCATGAGTTGCATCACCTCCAGGGCTTTCCTCACCACACATTTAGCTGACATGTTGGCACATGACTGAAATAGTGGCCTTAAACCCAACTCACTCACACACTATTAGAAAAAGTGAATCTTTGGATGGCAGTTAGTCGGTGTGCCGGAGCCTTCGCACGGAGCATCTCGTTGAGAATGTGATCATACTTTTTGGTTGAACAGATGTTCTGTGAGGGCTGTCAGATGCTGGAGATGGGTTTGTCTGTTTTACTGTGCCTGTGTCAGCAGGGGCAGATTTCACTGATGAGGGGAGCTACTTCAGATTAGTTTCCAGGGGATCTCTTTCATGATTTGGGCCTCGTGTGCAGTTTGGAAAGTCATGCATCAAATTGGATTACCTCATTGATGAAATTCTTTGCATATGTTAGTTTAAGTACCGGTATATGTGTACATTTCACGAAGGGTTGCAGAGAAATGGAGTTGCTTGTACAAAACAAGTTTCACGAATATGAATTTCAAGAGTACAGTTGTACTGTTACACTGTGACGTCACAGTGCACTCTAACATCGTATGATGTCATAGTGCAATCTAACATTGTGACGTCACAATAAGATGCATAACATAATGTGGGGCACACACACACAAGCAAAAAAAGAAGAAGAAGAAGAAGGGATATACCGTATTTGATGTAATAAGCGCCCAGGGCGCTCTCAAAATTATAAATAGGGGGCTCTTATTAGAATATTATTTTGGTGAAAAAAAAAAAATTTCGTGGTTTATGCTGACAGCCTGAAATGTTTATGTACGGCAGATATATGTTTCCAGAATTTAATTGCCCATAATTAAGGGTGCATATAACACACGATATTGTACACGAATAAATAAGTCTTGTGTATATTGATCAATCCGAAGGGGTGCTAATTGGGATTGTTCACTAGCCGATATATTAGCAATTAGAGCAGGGAGCTTATTACGTCGAATACGGTATATGGTTTTCTGCTGTTCGGTCTGTAGGGGTGCATGTTGCACATCTGAATGGCTATTGGAAGTCTGTCAGTCACATCTGTGGACTTCTCAGCTAAACTCCCAGGGACAATAGCAAAAAATGCCTACTTGCTAATGAATATTTGTATCGTGTGCAGTCAAAAGATTCATATTATTCACCGTTGTTGACATACTTGGCATGTATGTTTTTTGTTTTTAAATAAATTTCTTTTTCCGAGGAAATATTGGATGAACATTTCTTGAGACAGCCCCCAGGAACAACACCTGGCATAGCAGTCATACATGCCACATTGACTCCAGATACTACTTGGAGACTGAGATATGGCTGTACAATGTACTGCTACTTATAAGATGTGATCTGGGACTGCTCTGGTATTAATCTCTGGAGTTTCCTGGTATCTTTCACAAAAACAACACTCACTCATACACTTTCTTCTTGCTTGCTCCTCACTTCATAATATAGAAACAGAGGATGCAGTCTGTGCCAAAACCTTGCCTACTAGATTTGTAAGAGCTGTTCAGGTCTATATGGGTCAAAGGTTGCCAACACGTTTCACAATAATCCTCAAGCAATGTCAAGGAGGTACAAATCATGGAATATTTCTCTCATCTGCTCAAAGTTTCAATGATGTCGTTCTTAATTTCTCTGTGATTATAGAAACCTTTGAAGACCCTGAGGTACCCCCAGTAAGCTGTGGACATTAATAATTGGTACTGCCTTCTACCTGGAAAAATCTATATACACCTTGCTACGAGCATGATCGTGAGATAGTTATGAGCCACGAAACCTATTGTATGTCACAATGCCTAGAAACTTGTATCATGTGCCACAAGACTTACATGTAATAGACGCCCTATATCATGTATATCACGATTTATGTATCATGATATATTCCACAAGACTAACATTCAGAGGAAACTATATCATGATATATGACACAATACTTATATTCAATGGAACCTACATATCAACACCCTAGATATACCATCATGATCAAGCCTCATCATGAAACCAAAGGTCATGAAACCTTCAGTTGCCATGAAACCTTCAATTGCTATGAAACCTTATGCCATGAAAGTGAAATCCTGCTGAGCCATGTCAAGGCGCTCTCTGCAATACAAAAATGAATTATGGTCCTGTCCATTTTCACTGCATGACACGTAGGTGTGGTATAGAGAGCTCAAGAAATGACTAGATAATGGTGTAAAACATGGTGTGTCAATTGCTGAATGCTTTGTGAAGGTAATAAACCGTTCACTGGCGCTTCTACATTCATCATGAATCAATAGCACATGAAGGATCTCTGGGCGAATATACAAGTGTGCATTGCTGTTGAATGATTCACGTGAATGATTGAGTCACAGAGTACTTGATAACTTGTATGGCGGAATACTTGTGCTGGTTCTACAGTTTGGCGACTTGGCACTCACAGAATCTTTCCTCCATGCCAGGTGCTGTAACATCTATCTATGAGTCACAGCTAATGACACATCTGGGAGTTTGTCTCTGACAAGGTGAACCCAAGTTATGTGGAAAAATCAATTTCAGTTTTAAGTCCATTAAGCTTCGAGGTATGTGCCATTAGCATATTTTGGAGAAGTTGATTAAATTCGCTAAAAGGAAGTTGCCTGATTGATTGACATTGCATATGTGATTTGGTAATGTATTTGAATACTGCAGTTGAAGTTTGGGAAACAGCTGATTTATGTCACAGTGCCCTGTAATATTGATAAATCATTTGTTTTGTCTGGCCATGAAAGACGAAAGACTGATACATAGCACCTGGAGTGCAGATGTTTGTGTGTCTGTGCCAGGCAAGGGGATAGAAAGAATAGGGGCATATGTGATCATGGTGATAGGGGTTCCTGGTAGGGGTGTCATTTATTGGTATTTTAGTATTGATATATCGGCTCAAAAGTGTCATGATGTATTGATCAATCATTTTTAATATAAAATTAGATAATCTATTTGTGTATAAATAAAAAATATCTTTGGCAACCTGCATTTAACCCACTAATCATGCTAATGCTAAACTAGGCTGATCCTCTGTATGTTTAAAATTGAAGTTCCTGCCTTGTCATTGTTCATCTTAACCATGGTAATCTCAATAAATGTCACTGTGGCAGTGAATTATTAATATGATATCGATATTAATAAATTTGTATCATACAGCATGGTTATCATAAAATAACATCTACATTGTTGTAACATTGATATCCTGATGTAGGATGACATCTCTCTTACCTGGCAGAGTTGGGGATGCAGGAGGGACGGGCAATATTGATGTTAGTAATTAGTTTGAAGTGTATTAAATTTATAACCCCAATTTTTCACCAGCCTTTGGCTGTATATTGATTACAGTCAGGGAGAAAATTGTGAGAAATAACTATGATTGTTTTCCATTTTTTGCAGGGTTTGGAGATTAGGGCAATGACAATCTTAAAGAAGAGACACATATTGGAGTCACAAAATAAAAGGTAAACTGGTTTGTATTCTTGATTATTGAATTAGGGCCAGCTAAAAAGTTTGATAATCGGAATTTTAGAAATATTAACAATGGATATGATATTGTCATCGATAATAACTTAAATAAACTATTGTGATGAAATGTAGAGTTTAAATTTACTGAAACAATTATTGTCAGTAATGTCAATTGTCAAAGATGGAAAGCAACTGTTTTTGTTATTTCTCAAATGTCCACAAAATGTTATGAATGAATGAGTCACTGCTCAACAGTGGTGTGAATTATGTTGATTCCTTCCGTGATTTTCTTACGTATTCACTTTAACTTGTTATCCCCCGCCGCGCGAAAGCGCGAAGCGGGGGATATAGTATTCACGACCGTCCGTCCGTACGTCCGTCCGTACGTCCCACCTGTTTGTTGCCGCGATATCTCAAGAACTAAACACTGGATTGTCTTCATATTTGGAACTATGGTGTATATACAGACTCCGCAGACACCAGTCGGTTTTGGTGACCTTGATCCCATTTTCAAGGTCACAGCAGACAAATCTGCTTTTAGAGTTGGAAAACGGTGTTGCCGCGATATCTCAAGAACTAAACACTGGATTGTCTTCATATTTGGAACTATGGTGTATATACAGACTCCGCAGACACCAGTCGGTTTTGGTGACCTTGATCCCATTTTCAAGGTCACAGCAGACAAATCTGCTTTTAGAGTTGGAAAACGGTGTTGCCGCGATATCTCAAGAACTAAACACTGGATTGTCTTCATATTTGGAACTATGGTGTATATACAGACTCTGCAGACACCAGTCGGTTTTGGTGACCTTGATCCCATTTTAAAGGTCACAGCAGGCAAATCTGCTTTTGGAGTTGGAAAACGGTGTTGCCGCGATATCTCAAGAACTAAACACTGGATTGTCTTCATATTTGGAACTATGGTGTATATACAGACACCGCAGACACCAGTCGGTTTTGGTGACCTTGACCCCATTGTCAAGGTCACAGCAGGCAAATCTGCTTTTGGAGTTAGAAAACGGTGTTGCCGCGATATCTCAAGAACTAATCGCTGGATTGTCTTCATATTTGGAACTATAGTGTATATACAGACACCGCATACACCTGTCAGATTTGGTGACCTTGACCCCATTTTCAAGGTCACAGCAGGCAAATCTGTTTTTGGAGTTGGAAAACGGTGTTGCTACAATATCTCAAGAACTAATCGCTGGATTGTCTTCATATTTGGTACTATGGTGTACAGGCGGGGAATATTTCGTCACTCTGTGACAAATACTTGTTAAAGTTACTTTTCTGATATTTATTGATAATTGATTGATATTTTGTTAGCGATTATCGATCTCTGTGATCTATATCTATAGCCAGCCCTAGTAACCATGATAATATGGCATAATTTTGCATATTGGTGCTGATGAAGCATGACTGAAACTTAGTGAAAGCCAAGATGATTACATTATCATGATTATAGAAGATTTGTTGAAGAATTTCCATTGATTCTAAGGACCAATGTCAGTTGATCTGCTGGCTTCGGATGTAGCTGGATCTTCTGCGGCACAACACAGTCAGACTCAACAATTCGTTTTAGTGGTTACATGCACTTATTTTGCTGGAGACAAGTACCATTTGAACTTTTTCATGATTTTAGCAAATTTGGAAAGGACATTCTTCTATGCCATTACCAAAATTGAAAAATATCTTTTTAGATAACAATCAGTCATGCTGTCTCATAAGAAAAGTAACTGATCTGAAACCATGTACATGTACGATGTTAAGCTATCATTTCTGGAAGACACTTTTAAAGTTTAACTTCCTCAATGATGTCAGTGTGAGTGAGAGTAACTCTCTCAGTAGCTGCAAGATGATGCTTCTAACCTTGACATTAGGGCATGGCCACTTGAAGTGTCACCATGACCACTTAGAACTTTTGCATTTTGGACTTGTGTAAAACCTACAGATATATCTAACTGCAAGCAAGCTTATTCTATTAGCCACTGGCACTTACATAACTTAATTCGGGTGATCGGTCTTATGGATATGTAGGTATATGGTAATTTTTTTTTATCTTGATATTAATTACTCCATCATGTCCATAATACAGGCAATAATGGAATTGAAATCGAAAGCTGAAACCCAAGTGATGTAAGAAAAAAATTAGGGACTAATGTTTGATGTACAGACAACAGATAACTCCAAGATATTGTAATTCTGAATCAAAATGAATTATTTCCTGATGGTATGTGCATATGACCTGATGTGTTGGGTCAGGTCTCGGCTCAATGCTGAAACACAGCTTCTTAACAGTGGAAGTGTCAAGTGTTCATGAATCATGTCAGTTACAAGTCGCAACCTCCCTATTGTGATACATATCATTACCATGGTAACAGCCACAACTGATTTCCTCCAGCTATTGTTTTTTCCCAAGTATATGATCTATGAGTGTTTCACATGTAATCATGGTAATCAGAGTTTAAGATTTAGCCTGAAAGTCAAGGCTGTCCTTTTCTAACTCTTTGTTATAGAGGTCTTTAGACTGCAGTATTATAGCAGAGCAAGTGTCAAGGATGCCACTTAGCTTCTGTCACAGAAAATGTCATTGTCTCATGACATCTGTCTCACTGTAGCGAGTGAGTGAGAGAGTTGGGTTTAACGCCGTTTTTAACAGTATTCCAGTTATATCACAGCGTGTCAGCTTAATGTGGGAGGGAATCCAGAAGTGATGTAGGTCTCAGACATTTACCACTTCGGTGAAACCCACGAGCACGGGTATGGTGCTGACAAACCTAGAAACATAATCGGGGCGAACTGGGATTCGAACCCACAATCATAGGTTTCTGGCATGCCCAAGGGATGCAACTCTGCACATCGAATCGCAGCACCTTAGACAACTGGGCCACCCGTGACCCCCTGTCTCACTGTAAATAATGATTCTTAATATCATTATTTTATAGTACTAAGTATGTGTTGGATCATCCTGACCTTTGTGTATCATAGATGGGACATCACAACTGATTGACTTCAAAGGGTAATGTCCAAGCCAACAAACTGAAGTTGCTTTAAAAAGTACAAGTTCCCTGACGAGGGTTTAATGGCATGCGCCAATAGGCTTTGGAGGCAGCTGAGATGTGTGTTTAGGAGTTTTTGTTGTCTATAAATATTTAAAGTGCAGGATGTTGGCTTTTCACACAGGGAAGTGGTTCTTGCTTCCTGATTTACCAGCCAGTCGGTTTAGAGGATGTAGATATGCCTGGTGTGTAATGTGTGATTGTCCTTTCTTCTTGTTTGTTCTTAATGTAATTGAAGAGATTTCAAAATGTTTGCATGTATCCTGTGTTGTATTGTGTATTTTTAAAATTTTGATTAAATTATTATTAAAACTTATAAATGGTTTGCTTTGTATCAGGAAGAGTATGTCTTGTCTGTCTTGGGGTTGTCAGATTATTCTTTTCTCATTATAATAAGTGAATGGTTATTTTGTGCTATGGTCCGTAATATGGCAAACCAGTTGTTGATGGCATGAGCAATGATCCATGCTTCACATGTTACATCTTACTCACCCAAGCCTCACTTTCTGGCTCTTGCAGTCTCCTTAAAATCTAATCTTTGTACTCGGATACACTATTTGTCTTCGGCAAGATGTGAGGAGACCTCCATGTAAGGTTGCTTCAGGTTGTTGCATTGTGCATGTTGTGTGTGTTGGTATTATTTTTACGGTGAAACTTAAATGCTCATTCTGTGTAAGTGCAAGGTGTGTACTATTGTTATAATCATAATTATCATACCTTCATATCAGAATGATGAGATCTGATTGGTCCACGTGATCTTGATAAAATACTGTGGAGGGTAATAAATTTCTCAGCGAGGGAATAAATCTCTTTATACCCTGCCACAAGCAATGCAGGCGGCACATGGATATCTTAGAGGCCGAATAAATCCCTTATACTCTGCTTCAATGTATAAAGCTGTATGCTTTTCCCCGAGTCAGTGGAAGTCATGTGACATGGCACAAGTTAACCTCAGATCAATCAAACAGCTGTTTTCTATCAATTTTGAATTTGTGTTAATTCTTTTACAATGTCACATTTAAACATGTCAGTAAGATAAATTCATTGTAGCAGGATCACTCAAGGTACATGGGGTGTTATGCATCCCTCGTTAGGATGTTTTAGACATTTTCTGTCATGGGTGAACTTTTTGCATTTCACTGGCCACACATACCTTTAGTTTGAAGATTGATGCTCATTGATTATTACCCTTGTTGGACATAGCAATACAAGAGAATAGACATCCCTCTTCATCAAGTACACAAACATTGTGGTAAATCAATTCCACATTGAATCGAGAAGCACCAAGTCACAGCCTTGACCATCTTAAACCTGTCACAATAATGATTTATTGCTTTTGAGACAGTCCCCTGCAACAGATGTTTGAAAGTAAGTTGTTGGTATTTCACCTGATTAGCAAGGAGGGGATGTCAGAAAGGTGTGCATCTTGCATTCTTTGTTGAGATGACTGAGCTCAACCCCCTATGTCAACAAAGCAGCATTACTTGTAGCTTGCGATGTCTTATGTCAGGATTGTCTTTTGCTTCTACCCAAACTTGTGCTTGCTTGATGCATCAGGTGTTTGGACAGATGATCAATTTATGAAAAAGGATGTTTGTGTTTAAGAATTTGGATGACACATGGAATTGAGGTATGGCTGAATAAATATTGATGTGATCTTTATTTTTATTGATTATGTTGATAAAGAAAATGTTTGCTGTTGGTCTTGTCAGGAAGGTAATTTAGTCCGAATCACAGATCCGCTGGCATGAAAAATAGCAAAATAAAATTAAAAAACATTTCTGATATTTAATTTATATTGCCAACTCTAATGGTATAAAAAGATTTTTTTTTATAAAATAAGTTCACAAAATACGAAAATACATAGCGAATTTGAAACGTCATGATGTGGACTGATAAGAATTACGTCCCTTCGTTATGACATACCTGGTTGTGCAGTTGTTCAGGCGTTCATGTGAGTTGTGAGTGAAGTCACTTTACCAAAGAATAGACCAGTTTCTGCTTATTTTTTATAATAGAAAAGTGGAAATTTTGATAATTTAGTGACTTACTTGCTAGAGTTGTAGCCATGATAATGATACTTAGCACTTGGTTGGTGTACGATTTGTATCTAGTAATGTTACATGATACATCCTGCAAGTCATATTCATGTTATACATGTACCTTCATCCTTTGCAATGATCAGGAGAGAGAGGGTGAGAGATTTATGATAGATCTCACCCTTTGAACATAAAATGTAAAACATTGTTGAGAACATAAGAGATATACTACAGCCTCCCATTGGTTATGAGAGACAGTCAAACTTCATTGATATTGTAAAATATATGTTCTTAACATACATGTAGGAGATAAACATAATGTGATTTCAATGTGGAGCTACGATAGATTTAACCACACTAAATTGAATCTGGAACCAAATGTGCAGTAAAAATATACAAGTATTCTAAATATAATCAACACATCAGAGAGCTCTGGCATTGAAACATGTTAAATATAAAATCGGCAAGACACAGCTGGATGTTTTTACACTGTGTATCATGAGGAATATTAATTTTTCAACTAAAAGAGAGTTTTGTAAGGTTGTTTACATATTCAATCTTGTTTACAAGGCTAAAAGTAAAACAAATATCCTTGTAATAATAGTGGCATGAGGATGTAAACCATATTTACCCTATTAAGCGCCCTGATCCAATATCGCAACACACTCTCTCTCCACCCCATCCAACAACAATTTCTCTGCTAACCAGTGGATAAGGAATCAATGTTTTCTGCCCCTATTTAAGAAGCAAAATATCCAGAACAGTCCATCATGGTCCATATTTCTTGTGAAAATTACAGATATTTTACAGAAAATAGCAGCATAGAAGGCGTATGTAATTGCCTGTTAACTAATATAAAAAAGTTGTAGTTTCTTGATGTTTGATCCAAGTTTGTTGACTACTGCTTGATCTCTGAAAACTTGTGTTTGGTTTTGATTAGGGCCCTCATTTGTCATTAGGGTGACTTCGCTATACGTATATCTGCTGTCACAAATAATCTTTCTCTGTTCATTTTCATACCATGCATAGTGCCAGAACGAAACCTTGTGACATTCACGCAATTTCATGGAATTTGTATGTTGTATTATTTGCTGATTATGCTATATGCATGCATTTCAGTACAGTGGCCATATCTACCTGATGGTATATAAAATGTGAAGGTCTTTGCCGCATGTAAAGTTGGTCAGAAAATTGTGAATATTGATTGCACCACTAGAAATTGTGAAGAATATCATATTCAAGATAAGATGCAAGACAGGTCATAGAAGACCTCGAATTGCTCTCTTGTTGCTCTTATAAAGGTACAGCAAGCCTTTCAGAAACTGTCACCTCTTGAAACTTCTCTAATGATGTTGCCCTTCCCTGTATTGTAAACAACTAAGGGAGGTAAATCTAATCTTATTAGCTGCTGTGTGGATGCCACTAAAATCTAGAAACAGTGGCTCTTAATAGTTTACAATCGCTTAATTCACTTGCTGCCTCTAACACTCATCACTGTCTACAACAGACGTATACACTGCCACATAATAATGGTCGATGGATATTTGTTGCCAATTAGCAAGATCTCAATTATGATCTCAGTTACCTATATTATTCAAAACAGTGTTAACCCCAGCTTGCTCACTCACTTACTCTATGAATGAATAGCTGGTTAATCTGCAGCTTGCAGATCGAGGCAGAGACCAGGTGCAACAACATAAACATAGTGCTTTGAAACATGGGCCTGATATTATATATTTCCAACTGACTGACAGGTCTTATTCATTTCAAAACAGTGCTGGTAAATATTTTAGGCATCACCAGTTAAGATAACCACATACTGCTGTATTAAGATCAGATTCAGTTTGATTACAGGATGGGTCATAATGAATTTTTTCATGTATTTGCAGTAGCAACTGATACGACAGTAGAATGAGCCTACCGCGTCCAACGGGGCTGAAGGCCCCAACCAAGATTGGGCGGCCAGGGTCTGGGACACAGCGCCAGTCCGGGATTCCTGCTCCTGGGTCAGGTTCAGGGAGTCGGCCCCAAAGTAAGCCACACACGCTAACAACTAACCATTCCTGGCTTCAATGCTTGTCTCACTGTAAAACACATAGTCAGATTTTTGTCTCACGTGACTGAAAGTCAAAGTGATCTTGTGTTAGGCATACTTGTCCATTATCAATCAGCCATGGTAGACATAATGAAACACCTATTATTTATGCCATTATTTGACCTTTGCACTTTGGACCAAGATTCTAAGTACTTTCGAAATGCATTTCCTTGCACTGTAAACATCATCTCCGTTTGAGGCTGGTGCTTCACATTCTTGTTCCAACCATTGGAAACATCTGAATTTGTTCAATAGCTTCTAATAGGATTTTTCGATATGACCACCATCGCAGCTATGTTTAAGAGACCTATTCATGGCAACTGCTCAGCAATTTCTAATTAATATGCTGTTCATGCTCTTAAATTCTATGTATCTTTGGCCTCCTTATGATCGCATCATGTTGTGTTCAAATCATTGGGATTTTAATGTGAAACAATTGAAAACATTGTGTATGGCATTTGCATATGCCATATTCTCTTTTAAATGAAGTAAAGGTATTTATTAATTATTTATAATTATTAATATTAGTTAATTCTCTCAGATATGGAAACATTGTGGAAATTTTCCTACTTGTTACATATTTGTTAATTGCGGCCTCAGTATTCATGTTGAAAATATTTGAATAGCAATGGTGACAGCAAGTTTTGTTCAGTGGCTGTCATTTTAAACTGTTGAACATTTTAATCTGATGGCTACTTATCCAGGTGAGCTACAGTGCCGTGTCACTATTAGTTAGTTCTTTTTAAGTCGCTCCTGCTTTGCATTTTTAAGTGTTTGATTCAGCAGTTTCCTCATGTTATCACGTATATCCTCACATTGCAATTTTCAAGCTTGAAGACTTAGGTTACCAGTCGAGTATGAAGGCGTTGTTAATGTAGTGACATACAGTGAAACCATGTGAAGTCCCCGTGATCACACACTGTGCTAATGTCAGACAACGGTGCTCAGGAACATAGGTCATAATCTCTCAGACTGTATTTGGAGTGAATGGAGTGTTAGTTAATGAAGGGTTCACTGTGTTATGCCAAGCAATAACAGAATTAACAAATATCAAGATAAGGTAGTTAATGTGTATTATATAAAATGTTAAGTAGGACATATATCATCTACAACATCATCTCTAAAAAGTACATGTTTGTACAAGGTTCTGAAATTGATGTGAAATGAACACTGCAATGTTTGAATTGTAGACTGCCAGTGTCTATTGATTGTTGTCACTTTATGTGTGTACTGAATATTCCAACATGTCCAATGCATGTGTGCATTTTGGCTTTTAATTATTATTCTTGTTGATCTTCAGTAAAATATCTTTGATTTTCTGGTTTTAAATGCTGCAAAATTTATTTTGAACATCAATGGTCTGAAGTCCAAGGGAGATATTATTTATTTAAATTTTGAAATTGTAAAATGATAATGAGAAAATGTTTGGTTTTCATTAATCTTATTACACCAGTCCCTACTGTGATATAGACTGGAGTAATACCACATAAACCTTTAATTGCAAACTAAACTGAAAATTACCAAGCATAAAATAATTAAAATATTAGATCATGTAGATTGTTCCCATTTCATCATTTAGATTGTTAGTTGGATTGTTCATTGCAAGTTTAGCAAAATATTTAAGGTTTTAAAGGTGGCTTTGGTATTGAGTGTTGACATGGAGTACTGGTAACTATTTCTTGTCTTCATCAACTAACACAATATGGTCAATATCTTCTTGATGAGTTATCTACCTTTCATCTATGTCCTCCATGAGTCAGCTACCTTTCATCTATGTCCTCTTCATGAGTCAGCTACCTTTCATCTATGTCCTCTTCATGAGTCAGCTACCTTTCATCTATGTCCTCTTCATGAGTCAGCTACCTTTGCCTATGTCCTCTTCATGATTTAGCTACCTTTCATCCATGTCCTCTTCATGAGTCAGCTACCTTTCATCTTTGTCCTCTTCATGAGTCAGCTACCTTTCATCCATGTCCTCTTCATGAGTCAGCTACCTTTGCCTATGTCCTCTTCATGATTTAGCTACCTTTCATCCATGTCCTCTTCATGAGTCAGCTACCTTTCATCCATGTCCTCTTCATGAGTCAGCTACCTTTCATCTATGTCCTCTCCATGAGTCAGCTACCTTTCATCTATGTCCTCTCCATGAGTCAGCTACCTTTCATCCATGTCCTCTTCATGAGTCAGCTACCTTTCATCCATGTCCTCTTCATGAGTCAGCTACCTTTCATCCATGTCCTCTTCATGAGTTAGCTACCTTTGCCTATGTCCTCTTCATGAGTCAGCTACCTTTCATCTATGTCCTCTTCGTGATTTAGCTACTTTTCATCCATGTCCTCTTCATGAGTCTGCTACCTTTCATCTATGTCCTCTCCATGAGTCAGCTACCTTTCATCTATGTCCTCTTTATGAGTCAGCTACCTTTCATCTATGTCCTCTTCATGAGTCAGCTACCTTTCATCTATGTCCTCTTCATGAGTCAGCTACCTTTCATCCATGTCCTCTTCATGAGTCAGCTACCTTTGCCTATGTCCTTTTCATGATTTAGCTACCTTTCATCTATGTCCTCTTCATGAGTTAGCTACCTTTGCCTATGTCCTCTTCATGATTTAGCTACCTTTGCCTATGTCCTCTTCATGAGTTAGCTACCTTTCATCAATTTCCTCTTCATGAGTCAGCTACCTTTCATCCATGTCCTCTTCATGAGTCAGCTACCTTTGCCTATGTCCTTTTCATGATTTAGCTTCCTTTCATCCATGTCCTCTTCATGAGTTAGCTACCTTTCATCTTTGTCCTCTTCATGAGTTAGCTACCTTTGCCTATGTCCTCTTCATGAGTTAGTTACCTTTCATCTTTGTCCTCTTCATGAGTCAGCTACCTTTCATCTATGTCCTCTTTATGAGTCAGCTACCTTTGCCTATGTCCTTTTCATGATTTAGCTACCTTTCATCTATGTCCTCTTCATGAGTTAGCTACCTTTGCCTATGTCCTCTTCATGATTTAGCTACCTTTCATCTATGTCCTCTTCATGAGTCAGCTACCTTTGCCTATATCCTCTTCATGATTTAGCTTCCTTTCATCCATGTCCTCTTCATGAGTCAGCTACCTTTGCCTATGTCCTCTTCATGATTTAGCTACCTTTCATCCATGTCCTCTTCATGAGTTAGCTACCTTTGCCTATGTCCTCTTCATGATTTAGCTTCCTTTCATCCATGTCCTCTTCATGAGTCCGCTACCTTTGCCTATGTCCTCTTCATGATTTAGCTACTTTTCATCTATGTCCTCTTCATGAGTCAGCTACCTTTGCCTATGTCCTCTTCATGAGTTAGCTACCTTTGCCTTTGTCTTGTTAGATACCTTTGGTCTTTAAAATCTTCATGTGTTATCTTCTGTTAATTTATGTCATTTTGATGGGTTATCAACCTTATGTCAATATCCTCATGAGTTATCTACCTTTCATCTATGTCATCTTCATGAGTTATCTACCTTTTATCTATATCATCCAAGCTCCTTCTCTTAACTGTTGGTAAATATCGTCATGAGTTATCTACCTTTCATCTTTGTCAACAAGCTCCTTCCCAGTGTGGGCGTGGCCATTACAAGAATCTTGAAATTTGCCCTCTATCCCCAAATGTAGTAGCGATTATACTTTTGTTTATGTCTTTGGGAATGCCATCACAGTTAATTTTGAAAAGGTTTACGACCGACCATATTTGCCAGATGAATTAGCTTTTTGTTTGTTTGATCAAATTAGTTCAAGATTGCAGACGACCAGAAAATCAACCAACTTTTTCCTTACATTCTTCCTATACCAATTACATGATCCTTGTAATGACACAGAAATTCAAATTGACAAACAAGGAAAATAATTTAGCAGGGGTAAGAGTAGTCAGCGTCACGGCAGTCATCACTTGTTTGTAAACAAAACGGTCAGTCGAGTTCAACTCCAAGCATTGTTGTGGTCACCCTATCACAGTGGAGGATTTAATCATCTTCTTCAGTTATCTGCCATTCTTCTGTATCATTTTCATGAATTATCTACGTTTTGGTCTAAATCTTCAAGAGTTACCTACCTTTGGTCCACATCTTCATGAAATATGAACTTCCTCATTCAAAAAGATGTTTGTTTGTTGTTTAAATTCACACTCAGCAATATCTCAGCTATATGATGGTGGTCTGCAATTAATCAAGTTTAGTCCAGACAATCCAGTGATCGACATCCTGACCATTGATCTATGTAATTGGTATAAAATGACATGCACCTACCATGTCAGAGAGTCTGACCACCCTATCCTGTTCGTGCCTCATATGACATGCTTGTGTTGATGTTGGATATTAAATTAGCTTAAAATTAAAGAATTGATGAAGATATTGAGGGTAATTAGCATTGTTTTATAAATAAAAAAATTAACATTAAAATCAAATTTCAGCTGCCATTAACACGTCAAATCTGTTATGCCTAATTCTGTATAAATGTGTCATCACAACATCATTGTGGATTATTTTAATTACCTGAATTCCTCAGACCTCTTTGGAGTGGTATCAAAGCTGACTTAAAACTCAGAAATGCAGTTCTTTGAGATTCAAGATGTCAGAGCATGTCTCACTGATACGTGCATGACACTCTCAGATGGGTTTCTCCTGGAATATAGCTTGTCTCCTTCAAAGCCAGGTGTACATGTGGACCTGGAAACTCACACTATGATTGTTTGTGGCAGCTTCCTTCTCCTGTTTGTTGTCTGACATTCTATACTTTTCCCTAATTATGTTTGTAACATCCTAGTTCGTATGGCTGAACTTGTAATGAAAACTACATGAAGATTAAGTATCTTATAGTCTCACTTTCTCAGCTGTTATTGAAAACTATGAACAAGGAGAGAATGAGATCATGCTAGGAGTTTGTAATAAGACTGTGTGGTTGCAAAGTGAATGACACATCTTGCCAGAAATATGTTTTTTTACCATAAATGAAATAGATTGACAATTTGATATTTCTGAAATGTTTAAGCTGTTGGTAAGTGTGAAGTCATGAAATTTGTTGGAGGCATCAGCACATGAATTAATTCACTTCAGTATATTTTCTTTGCAAGATCAATTACCCTTATTATTATTCCATACATAATTGCCCTAGTAAGAACAATATAAACTCTTTCATTTTTTGTTCCTGTAAACATGGTAAAAGAAAACCGAAAAACCACAATCAATCTCAATATCTCTACTCTTGGAAATGAAATAATCTTTTTTAAGTAAAGTTTTGATATTTTGATTCAAAGTTACTTACAGCTTATTGATATTTTGCTTGGCTACAGTACACCATATTGGTTATGAGTAGTGATGGTTGAGGTGTACTGTGTTCTGCTACAGTTGTCCCTATAGGTTGTCCCTACAGGTGGCTCTGGTGTGTATGATGACTGCTGCTGTGGTTTTTTAATACAGGAACTCAGTAAATCTTTTACTTAAGACTAGTGATTTATTTAAAACTGCTCAGGGGCTGATATTTGGCCCTAAGTCTGAAACAAATGACAGTAAAAATTCCCAGCTTAAATATAAAATTTCCCAATTCCTCAGAATATACAAAAATAAAAACAGAAAACAATTTTTAACTGTATCACAATTTTCCCCAATTTGCCTGCCAAGGGCTCTTAGTTTGGAAACCTAGATAAATCCTTGTAGATATTAGCATTATGACAAGTGCTCCTTGCTTTCCATGATTTTCTTCAGTGTACCTTAATTTTTGTTTAGTTAGAACTTTGAATGTAGATTATGCCACACTAATCTGACATTTATTGTAGTCTTTACAGTACTGTTTCTATTCCCTTTCAGCTTGCATAATCTGTGCTTTATCACTTGTCAAGTGTATTTGTGTGAAGATATTTGTTTCTGCTTGATATTATTCCTGTTTTTGCCTGGTTTTTGCTGTGGATGTTGCATGTGTGTGCTATTTATTGAAGGTGCTCTAGCTAAGAGAGCAGCTGGAGTGTCAGCCAGTCAGGCGGAGAGGTACTCGACAAACCATCTTCCTCATCTCCGAGGTAACAGAATAGGGGGATTTCTTTGACGAGACAACCTAAATGCCTTAGCAGTCGTTTGTGTTGTTTCAGTTGTGCGGTTGTCAAATATCATATTCAACATATTCAAAGAAATAAGCACTCACCAGTCATCTGATGCTATATGTCCAATGTTAAAGGTATACTTGGGGCAAGTAGAAATGTCCTCTATTTAACAGTGTATCTGTATGTTTCATTATAGAGGGTTGTGAAACGTATGTTGTTTCTACTGCTGTAGTTTCAATCCCTGACATGGTGACATTGAGGGGGCAGATCCATATCAATTCTTTAAAAGAAATATGACATTTCTGGTGACTCTTTTATACATTTTGATGTTGTAGCTTTGATTCAGAATATTTTTTTATGACATAATTAAAATATAGTTTCATAATTTAATAGTGCTGATCATATAAAAAATTGAAAACATTGGAAGCACTATTTGTTGTTGTTCAATGCTGCACTCAATATCCCAGCTAAATATATGGCGGTCTGCAAGTAATTGTGTCTGGACCAGACAATCCAGTGACTGACATCAAGAGCATCAATCTAAGCTAAACACCTGATCCCATTAGTCACCTCTTACAACAAACATTGGAAGAATTCATTTAGTTTTTGTTCCTGCAGATTCTTCTGGTTCAGAACAATGATTCATGTGACAACTACCTGGAATATGTGGGAAGCTGTTGTCATGCCAGTGTGTAACATAAGAATTATCCATTGTGTTATAACGACTATTGTTGCTGAAGAATATATTGATTTTTTAAGCTGCATAAAAATAATTAAATATTTCTGAGGCAATTTTCCAACTGTTGAGGCAGGGAGAAGTAGGGCAGAAGTTACAAAGGTAAAGAGTCAGGGTGACCTTGTTATAAATGTAGCTTTACAAGAGTAATTTTCCTGTTTGAATTCAATCAGAGATTTTCAGACCCGTTTTTACACATTATTTGCCTTATAGTTATCAAGGAAAGAAATGTAAAGTCGTCTTAAGAAATACAAAAATAGTTATATGTTAAAAATAATCTTTGTGGTAATTGTATCTATCTTGACTTAGAATCGGAAAAATTACAAAACTCTTTGACAGAGTAGTCAGTCTACTGCCTGCAGAGCTCATGTTGAATTGTGATATAACACTTATATAATAAGAGTCTTAATTACTTAAGGACTATAGAAACCCTGGTTCAACTCTGGTTGTTATTTTCTAAGTTGAAATCAAGAGGCAAGTCTGATAAGCTTTTGGAGTTTTTGGCTTCTGAAGAGACTAAAATTTTCATCAGAATGTATAACAGATAACAGAAACACTGGATATAAGATGCAGGCAATGTTACATGTATTTTGTGAACCAGAAGTTAAAACGGTCTGATGCCTAGGTTATGTGATGAGTCTAATGACAGGGATGCCTGAGAAACATATCCTTTTTTCAGCCTTGTGCATGCAACTGGAGAGTGAGTAACCTAGCATCCTCAGAGAATCTCCAGGGCAAATTGTTTTCACAAGTATGTCTGCTGTGTGAATACAAATATTTCATGTTCAGTGTAGCTCATAAATGAAGTGTAGGTTTTCTTGCTGTCTAGACATGGAGAAAAACATTGTAAATGATAAGGACATCTATATTTTGTCATTAAGGACACACATACTTAGTCATCAAGGACACATACGTGGTTATCAAGGAAACAGGCACAGCAAAGTTTCAATTTCTCAGGAAAATACTTTCAACTCTTTTTTCATAATTAAAGGTGTCTCCTTCTTACTTGCTTCTGACAAACAGAAAGAAATCAGACACTGAGACAACTTAACTTGTTTTGATCAGTTTCATCTTATCATCTTTCATTTCCATGAGAGTGAAGGTCATTTAATAGTCTGCAGATTTGTGGTGTTCACTAGAAAAACAGTTCACTTTTGTCACAATAATGGCTGTCCTTGATAGCTCCTTTGTATCTGACACCGCCTCCGTGGTCTAGTGGCAGAGCATCCGCCAAGAGAGCGGAAGGTCCGGGGTTCGATCCCCAACTGCTTCATACCAAAAGATGTTTAAAGATGGTATATGTAACCCTGTCTGACACTGGATAAAACAAGGACTGGTTGGCTCGGAGCCAGTATGCTGTGTCTGAGTGGGGATAATTTATGTTAAACGGCAGCAGGATATCTCAGACTAGTACAAGCAGACAGACAGACACACGTCGCTATAAAAGTGCAATAATCTTGGATGCGACGATTAACCCTATTTCACCTCACACCTTTGTATTTGAAAGAGTCACCAGACATTTGTCATTATTGATAAATATGATAATTAACAGATACAGGAAAGGAAAGAGCATGAAATGACACAGGCCTAAAGAGCAATCCGTGGGGACTCTGGGGTAGAACTGGTCCACTGTCTAACTATGTCTAACTATGTCTATAAGGTGGTTCAGGTCTTGGTCCTATTGATGGAGCACTGGTGATGCAGCGTTAAACTTTCACTCCCTGCCCCTGAAGGTTACCGTAGCATGGGACAGATGGCAACCTGCGACTGAATATGTTCTGGAAATGTCTGTACTCAGTGTTTAGAACTATGTTGGGCCAAGATGCATGGTGCTAGATCAGTGTATGGACAGAATGCCATGTTTCATGTCAGTATCCTTGCATGTCAGCATGCACAACTTCCTTTGAATTTTACCATGTAATTTGAAACTGCAGTCAGATAGTTAAGATTGAAAGTTGAAAAAGTATATGATTCAAAGATATTGTCATGATGTGTTTGTTAAGCAATTTAATTGAAATCAGATACTTGTTCTTGCTTTGACTGTTAAACACAAATCTGAGGAAATCCCATTACAAGTCAGAACAACCTATTGCAAACTTTGACCGACCAATGAAATGTCAAACAAGAAGTCAACATAAGCAATCAGAAAATCGCTTTCTCGAACTATACAGTACTAGTTTCAAACTGGCGACCTCCATTTTAGACTAGACTTTGAAAAAATATTTTGACAGAGTTTTCTGTTCAATTCAAAATTTGAATACTGATAAAAAGAATATTCTTGAATGTCTTATAGATGGCAGAGATTGTATGGCAGTACTTCCAACAGGCTATGTAAAGTATCTTCTGTTCAAATGTTTTGTCCCATCGAAGTGAGAGATAGGTGCTGATTTTGATGGAATCACTCATACAACCTGTAACTGTCAATCGGAAAACCCTATGTTAACCTTTTTGAGGGTGCATGATAAGAAAACAAATTCTGATTGTCACTTTCCTGGTCTGGTAAGCGACACTTTGATTTGTTGGATGAAAGATCCTTCTGACAGGACCAGAAATGGGATGTCCCCAGATCTTTGTTTTAGGGGTAGCGAGAACTAAGGTCTGATTTTGATGAGATTGTTGTTAAAGATATTTGGGAGATTAGATTCAGTGAGAATAAGATAGATAGAACTTATTACCATGATTACATTTTGTGTGAAATGTTTCCTTGACATTCACAGCTGCTTGTTTGATGTCATCCTCACTGTTGTCAACAGAAGGACACAGGAGCATTCCATGAAACAGTTCATCAATCAAACCATCTGCAGAAAATACAGTTTTTGTGACAGGCTTTTTACATGTTTAAGTATGCTCTAAACCAGTGGTGCATCTGAGGAAACACATGGACAAGACAGTTCTAGTTTTTCATGAGTTTCATTTATGCTTGTTTAAAATATTTCTTAGAAGTTAAGCACTGATGGGTAGAAAAGAGTACCGGATGTTTAGGGAAGACTGTTGATAACCATAGTCATCATTACTTCAGGTCCAGAAAACACACCTCCAGCAGGTAATGGCACTGATGATCTCAAGATCGGTGACCGTGTCTGGGTCGGAGGAACAAAGCCAGGAGTGATTGCTTTCATCGGTGAAGCACAATTTGCTCCTGGAGAATGGGCTGGGGTTGCCCTTGATGAACCAATAGGTAAAAACGATGGCAGTGTAGCCGGGGTAAGATACTTTCAGTGTGAGCCAATGAAAGGAGTGTTTTCTCGTCTGACCAAACTGTCCCGGACTCAAGGTCTGATTTCAGCCCCGACGCCTAAACCTACCGATGCTGGGAGCGACACATCCACCAGCCAGAGCAGTGCCCAAAACGGGACAGCGAATCACACACCTGCTCGATCACAAACTCCACGAATTGGACTCTCTGGATCGAAGTCCAAATCAGGCTCCAATGTGAGCTTGAATAAAGACTCGCCACCTACCTCTACCCCCAATCTGCATCGAGGAGGCCTTGCCATGACCAAGCATGGGGTTAAGGTTGGAGATCGTGTTGTTGTGAGTGGGTCGAAGAGTGGAATCCTGAGATACGTAGGACAGACTGATTTTGCAAAAGGAGAATGGGCAGGGGTGGAGCTTGATGAGCCACAGGGGAAGAATGATGGTGCTGTTGCTGGTAAAAGGTAAGTTAATGTCTACTTATCCTACTGGTCCTTGAGCCCATGGCCAGCAGAAATAGAACAGGGCCTACTGATAATTATTGGTTGCACTATTATTCCAGTGAAAAGTCCATACTTGCACTTACACACAAGTATACAGTAGTTGGCTGCATTGAAATTTTGGAGGGGTAGCTTTTTTATACCCTAATTGGCCAGGAAATATATTTCAACACTTTTAGAAAGTGAATGATTGTTTTATTTTATAATATCAACTAAATTTTTGGGGCTTTCAAAAAACAAACCCAAACCCAAGTGGGATTACCCTTTATAACATTCATCCACTTGATAATATAAGTATTTGTGTTGTGTGAATGCTGAACCTTGTCAATTCAGTTGTCAATGAGAGCTGTGGGGTAGCCTAGCAAGTGGTCGAAGATACAGTTGTTTCATCGAAGACGTGTACAATTCCCCACAAGGGTCATTGTTTGAAGTCTATGTCTGGGGTCCCTGATGTTGTGTTAGTGGAATATTGCTAACAGCATCATAAAGCCATACCCATGGTCACTCACTCACTCATTTATTAGGGGGCATGGTGGCCCAGTTGTCTAAGGCGCCACGATTCTCTGTGCAGAGTTGCGTCCCTTGGGCACGCCAGAAACCTATGATTGTGGGTTCGAAGCCTGGTTCGCCCCGATTATGTTTCTAGGTTTGTCAGCACCATACCTGTGCTTGTATATTTCACCGAAGTGGTAAACGTATGAGATCTGCATCACTTTGGGCTTTCCTCCCACATTAAGCTGACACACCAAGATATAACTGGAATACTGTTAAAAGCGGCCTTAAGCCCAACTCACTCACTCACTTGTTTATTAATGAGGGTACTTGGATGACCCAGTGGTCATAATGTATTGTTCAGAGTTGTTTCCCTTACTTGTACAATGGCCCAATGATGTAGATTGTGGACAGATTTGTGATTTGTAAATCCAACCGCAGTCATTACAACCAAATTTCAAGGCCTTGAGCATGATGCTTGCGGACAATTTGCTGTGCTAGAAAAAATTGATTGAAGTCCCACAAACACCACTTTCTCTGTCTTGCCATTAAGATTGCCATAATTACAAAAAGACAGTGTTACAGTTTGTTACAGGGCATTACACATTTAAAGATGCTCTGGAAACATGACTATGTCTTGCAGTATGGTCCCCCGTTATCATGTTTAACAATCCAGCATACAGTCATCACTCATGTTAGTTTATATATTTGTTTCTATGAATCTATAGGTCAAGCCGTCAAATGAAGTAAGACATCGCAGTTTGCTTTTTAGAGTTCGCCTTGATTATAAACCTTAGTCAGCTCAATACATGTACAGTTGCTTTTGTGGGCTTCACCTATATGGTTAAGGTCTGTGAGCTGTATTGCTTTAGGCTATCCTCTCATATAAAGCTGACATGCCATGATATAACTGAATTGTTCAAAGCCGCTGTAAACCCAAGCCATAATCTCACTCACACATTTGTTGAAACACATTGTATTTTCCAGGTACTTTGACTGCCGACCCAACTTTGGGTTGTTTGCACCCATACACAAGGTCGCCCGCTATGCAGGAGGGGCAACTCCTAGCCCTCAGACACGGAACTTGGCAAACACCAGCTTGCGTAGTGCGCGTGAGCGATCAGGAAGCCAGGAGTCAATTAGTTCGGTCAGCTCAACCGCGTCTAGTGTATCCCGGAGCCGGGTAAGGTTGGGCATAACCTCCCTGGCCAATCAGGTACATGCTCACTTACTGATGCTTTTCTTTCATCACGCTTTATTGGTCAGAGTAATCAAGTGTGAACAATATTGCCGTGGAATTCTTTCGATATTGTGTCCCTTTTCACGAGTGTTAAGACCAGTTCTTTGCCATAGCTTATTGACAGACCATGAAGGTTCTGCTCTGAATTATTTGCATTCATTGGCATAATGGGTGAACTTTTGCAAACATGTTCCTAGATCTTCTTTATATGATTTCCTTGCATGGTAGTTAACCTACACTATTGGTGAATTTAGTGCATTTAGTTTTGATTTGTAGTTTATTTCTTGTCTTGTTAATATTTTTTAAATCAAAATGGTTGTTTAACTAGTTTAATGTCATCAAAAACATCATTAATTTTTCATTTGTGTTCACTTTTTCATCATTTCATTGGGTCAGTTATTTTTGGTTTGCTTTGACTAACTTTTTTTTGTTGAAGTTTGTGTTTTGTTAGTGCCTGAATCCTGTGTAAAACACAATCTGGTGATGGAGTTATCTCCCTTTGCTTCTAGAGTGTAGTTCGTTATATTAAATTGTATCATGGTTCATTTTCTCAAATAGTGGTCTTTTGATAAGTCTTTGGCAAGAGCTGGTCTAATCAAACATGTCTTTTTAATATTTTTTTTGAAAACTACATTTGTTCTAGAATAATTATAGAGATCCTTATTTCTACTACACCCTTTACAATCGTAATGACCGTTGTGAAATCGACTGCATTGGTAAGCTGCATGCATGTACATAAATGTTGTGCATCCAGGGCCCCCCTTCAGTTATACCCGTAGTGCTAGAACACATTCAGTAGTTAATGTGGGATGATGGAATCATTGGTGCTTTAAAGGGAGATCACTCAAAGGATTTTGAATCAAGGGTAGGTCACTCCTATCATTTCTTTTCTCAAGACTCAATGTGACAAATTAAAATGATTTTGTTTCAATTTCCTTGAAAGAGTAAAGTCAGATAAGGTCCCCCTGGAATATTTGTCTCATTGTCAAGTTTAATTTGACCATTTTCGGAAAAAGATATGATATCCCATTCATTCACATGTTCACCAGAGTAGCCGTGACACCATTCTTTGATAAGACATTGGGAAGAAAAGAACAAAATTTTACTCTGGCATTCTTTAAGTTCTTTAATTCTCACATGATCTTTTGATGGAAATATTGTGGCACATTAAATCTCAATCATCAGTGAAGAAGTTCAAGATGACAAAAGCGTGAAAGATGGAACGGTTATAATCCTCTCAGGTGATCCCATCATCGTGTTTGTGGGTAGTTCCTGTGTGGTTAATATTCCATATCAACATACTCAGTCAGACATCTATCTTAACTCCGACATATTATATCAACATACATACCTAACTTTAATATGTATTCCATTTGTTTATTCAAGCTACCTATCTTACTAATTTGATAATCTATGTAAACATACACAATCCCGATGACACTTCTAAAGAACGACAAGACACTTTATCCTTTTGTCCATGATTCACAATCAATATTGAGTGGACAAAGACAGCTACTGTAATGCCCTTTTGGCATGTATAGTTTTGAATTAAGAGAGTTAAAAATTGGTATTACTGTGTGTAAGGGGATTGAGTTGTTGTTTTGTAATATTCTTTTTGCTGTGGTTGAATAAGTGTTTATCACGATATGTTGATGTGCTAGATAATTCTCGGTTTTCTTTCCTACAATGTGTTCCTGCTTCCCCCCAGTTCTTGGTGGTTTATGTTTGATTGTTTGGTGTTGTGTTGAAAACTAAACCAAGCCGGTAATCGATAATAAGCTGATGTTATCATAAATACTAATATGCTATTTACTGTTTTGTTGGATCATATCTTTGAGATTTTTAACTGCAATGATGTTGAAAAAGGAGTTTTTAAGCTGAAATGTGATGAAATTCTGTTGGGAAGTTTAGTGACATAGCATAAAGACATTTCTCAGTATCAGCAGTTCTACTAGAGAAAGAGCCCAGCTAAAAACTATTAGAACCCACTGACAGCACAGAGCTGAGAGTCATCATGGCAGCTAGTGGTTCTTAGGTACATGTGGGAAGGACAGTGTTCTTCTACCCATAATGCAGCACTCTACTGCTCACCAATACAAATACCCATGTTAAAGGTATCCTTCATTTCAAAGTAGACAATTTCCTATTTTCAACAGTGTGCCTATTTGTTGTCATCATTGGGCAAGTGCTAAGAAAAGTTAGTTGTTTTTCCCTGCTCATGAGAGAGTTTACACTTGGATTCGTTCATCATTTTCAATGATGACCTTGTGTAATGTCCTTCAGTCATGGCGTACTGAGCTGTTCACATCTTGATGCACAGACATAGATGTTCAAAACGTTCCCCAGTGTCCTTTTCACGATTGATAATGACTCCGTGTCAGAAACTAAAAATGGTGAACACTTTATTTCCTGCAAAAAGCTTTATCATTTTGAAGATCATGATATTAATGCATTTCGAGGTCCCAGTTTGAAATGGAGTAAGTGGCAGTTCTGTTGACACTCCTCTGATATTACCAGTATCACAGCATTCAGGACTATTGGTTTTTATCACCGGTCAAAATGTTTCCTACACAAATTAATTTCAATGCAGATCCCTTGCTAACTAATCTGTTTACTGGACATGTAGATATTCAATCTTTATATATAATTTTAGACGGTCTGTTAAACATATTCTTAATGAATGTTACATTTGTATCTTCTTTGTGCATGTGCATGATTTAGTACTGCAGTGTTTAGATCATTGCTTCATAGATATCGTCATCAAGATCAATATGTCATGTTGGTAAATATTGTTTACAATGGTAAAGAGTTCAATTTTGTCATTTTTCTGTCTGCAAATTTCCACTTGTGTAATCATGGTAATAAATCCACTAAAGTGATTAACATGAATTTAACTTTTCTTAACAGATGAACCAATCAAATTTTGAGGTTTGGTTTAATCATTTATCTACTTGATTAAGTCTGTGTACATATTCTCTCATTCAAGCTATTTAACTGTGTAATATTACTCAAGACGTATCCCGAGTTTCAGCTATTAAATATACTTCATGAAGGATTGTGTAAAAGATGTTGAAAAGTAAAATCAATACTGGCTGTCTTGGGGTACATCTTGCTAGTTTTGCCTTAATCCTGCTGCTGCGTGTAGTCCAATAATTTACAGGCTGCAGTAAGACACAGTATCCAAACAGACGTAGCTCCTAATGCTTCACTGATGATCACTCAAGCATATCAGATTTTGAAAGACACATAAAAATGTTTCAGGATTTCCTTTTAATGATATGGATCTCAAATAAATGGCAGCTACAGTTTAATTAGTGTGACAAAAGTTGTTCTCGAAGACTCTTAGACCGCCTCCACAGTCTTGTGGTAGAGTATCCGCCCAGAGAGCAGAAAGTTCAGGCTCCGAACCCCCGCAGTATTATACCCCAAAAAATTAAAAGATGGTACTTGTGGTTACCCTGCCTGCATTAAGGGGCTAAAGCAAGGACTGGTCGGCTCGGAGTCAATATGCTGTGTCTGAGTGAGGTATTCATGTTAAACTGCGGCATGGTATCTCAGTGGGCTAGCACTATAAAATTGATATAAGTCTGGACTAGTACAAGCAGAAATACACACATACACCTACACCCACATGCACATCACTATATAAGTGCAGTAACCTTGAACACAACATTAAACCCTATTTCACCCTATTTCACCCTATTTAACATCACTTCTCAGACTCTTACGACAGTAATGCTCTTGTACTCTGACGTCAGTTGTCTTCTATGATCGTTTGTCCTTTGGACAGGTGAACTGAGGACTACAGTTCTGCTCCTATGACAGTTTTGCTCTTAGTTCAGATGCAATGGTGACAGTTTTTATGCTGTTATGAGGTGTATTCCTTGGACAGTATTGCTGACTGGCAGTTATTCTCAAAGGACAGGTGAACTCGAATGAGAGCTGAGAATTGGTTGCTGCTAAAGTGGCATGAAAATAAAATGTTAAGCAAATTATCAGGACTACCACTGCAGCAGGATATAGGTTTAACTTTTCCTCTTCATATTTATATAAATAGACCTCACCTTGTATACTCTTTGACTAACTGCCATCACTCATGCATATATCTACTTTAACTAACATGCAGGCTTCCAAAAGCGGCCAAAGACCAAGCTCACTTAACTTGTCTGCTACCACATCTGCCCTCCAGGTGAGTGGGTCAGTCTAATTCACCCATACTGACAACCCTAAGGAGAATAGTCCATGATTAATATAGGGGGTTCATGATGCAATTAGATCTGGCTGAAAACTTCTCTTATGCCCCACTTTCACTACGAATCAGCCCGAATCGGTAACTTTCGAAATTCGTGATGATTCGGCCAATAATACAATCTTTCGTGGCTAATCGTGTTGAAAAATATGAAGAATGCCAGGAATGGGTTAAGAAACATGTACTATTTCAAAATTCATGTACGTATCATGCACAAATTGTAAGAATCACCTACAACTAAGTTACGAACATGCCAAATGTTGTTCTTACTTAATTCTTATTTACGAATGGATTACGATACAGCCACGAAATTGCAATTCGGGGGCCCTTCCACAAAAGTTTTTGACAAACAAACACTTTCTCACCGATTAGACAAACTCCCGTAAACTGTACAAATGTTTTGGAATCAAATAAGATTCATTTAAGATCTTCAAGAAATGATTGAGATTTATCTACGAACATGAAAACTTTCCGATTCGGGGTGATTCAGGATATTCGTGGTCGTAGTGAAATGGGGGCATAAGTCTATAGAGTTCTGAATTGTTTTAGATGTATTTTTGTCGTATTCATCTCATCACAAACGTATTGTGGAATGTAAGAGTTAAATGATCAAATTTTTAAAATTTTGTTATGTTGAAATGTTGAAATCAAAATATGTATGTTTCATGAAGGGAAATTAAATATGTTTAACTATATGATAGTTAATGAAAACCTATTATCTAAGCCAAATCTGATAAAGGAGTGAAAGTCTATGGTATTGATATCCTATCCATGGTAGTGAGTTATTAGCAATATTCCAGCCATGTAACAGCAAGGAAACCCCATACATGGGATTTACACATTGTGCCTGTGGCACAAGCCACAGCTTTAACCACCAGGCTGCCAATAACCACCCCGACCCGTGAAGAACTGGGTAGTGAATAGGTCTTCAGCAACCCATGCTCGTCTTTAGAGGCGACTGATGGGGTCGCTGACTTAATTGATGCATGTCATTGTATCCCAACCGTGTAGATCACTGCTCTTGACATCAATCACTGGATTGTCGGTTCAGATTTGATTATTTACAGACCACCGTCATGTGCTGGAATATTGCTGAGTGCGGCGTAAAACAACAAAGAAACAAATTAACTAACCCTAACCTTAAACCATTGTAGGTAAACACTTGTTGGAACCAAGGTTTGTGGAACTAGTTTCAAATAGAATATCTCCAAGTGCCCTGCACAGAGGCGTATTGCACACATATATTGGGGTGATATCACCAGTGTCACTGGATGATGATTGCTTATGTTTTCATAGAATTAAACATTTACCACACAAATTGTGACCTCATAACCTATTATAATGATCATTGTAGAATTTGTGTTTAACTGTACATCCAGGGTTAACGACTCCTCCAGTATATTTACAGGCTTGTTTGGACAATGATTATGGCAAAGACAATTATTCCTTTGGCTCTTACCCTCATACCAGTGGTTTAAAGTGTTGCATCCCTTGTACCAGGATCTGCTGATCCCAGATTTACCCTGATTATGATCCTTGGTCAATCTATTTCAAACATTGGTTTCCATCAGTTGCCAAAGTGTGCACTCATCACTGATACAACATGAGACAGCTGAAATACTGGTCAAACCCATTAGGTTGGAGTCATACCTGACACTGATGAGAAGCATATGTTGTCCATGAGTTTGTGAGTCTAAATATATTTCAAATAGTATGGAACTAGAGGATAAATATCTTGTTAATTTGTTTTCCTGCATATTACTGTCATTGTCTTTTCACCTGTGATTAAAGTGTATAGTTTTTCAAGAGGGATCAGGTTTAATCTGGCTCTTATGTAAGACTTTCTTTTCTCATCATTGGCTGCAATATAGAGGAGATGGATGTGTCAGCGTGACACAACAATCCTTAGATAACCAAGGTGATGCTCAAACATGTGCTTGTTACACAAGTTCTTTGAATAGAAAGAAATATTGGCTGTACAATCTAATGTTTTCTAAAATCAGTGGACTTGCATGAATGATGTCATATTGATGAATCATTCTGACTTAGGAGACAAAAATCAATATGTGCTGAATCGGAACACTCCTTGTAAGATAGGTGGGAAGGTTATCTGACTGTATATTCTGTCTCATGCTTATGAAGTGTATCAAGAAATCCCTGTTGAAAAAAGGGTAATGTAACATTTGTTTAATCATGTTAATGGCTAAAATTAAATGCTGTTAATAGTCTGTCCAGATTTTATAGTCAGCATGCAAATGTATAATAGAGACAGTTCTGCTGTATTCTCTCCGAAGTATTCACTTCCTAGCAGAGTCTTGTAAGGGAGGCATGAAGTGGGGGAGGGGATGACACCTACCCATCATGCTGAACACATGGCTTCAACTTCCCACATGGGGCAGCTCATTTCTGGTGTCCCCAACTGGTATTGCTAATAACTCACTCACTCATGCTCAGGTTGATGGTAGAAATCAGTTGATGGAGGGTAGTGAATACAACAGCAGGAAATAATGTACTGAGAAGGACCAACTCTTGTATCATATTTCAACTACACACTAAATGTTTAACATTTGGGCTGAGAAGTATTTCTGGTCATGTGGTGACAGACCATTGAACCCCTGTTGTTAAGATTCTTTGCTAAAATTGGCATTAAAACTTATTCATGCTCTCATGTCTAAGAAAACAGATCTATAGTTAGCATAGGTGCATCAAACTATTAAGCAAAACCTAGCTTCTTCACCTGGTCAGTTTCCATCACAGAATGATATTCCAGTGTAATTGTATAGTCATGTGCACAAAACATCAGCATGAGTATCATCAGTGATATGATATAAGGTGGTGGGTGTCTCTGGCTAATACATTCTGTAACCTGCAGAGCTCTTGTATATCGAGTATCTTACTACACTTGTACAGAACCTATCCAGTTAATTAATAGGGGAAGTTTTCAAGAGGTTATTTCAGAGGTAATAAGAACAGTCTTACAAAAATATAGACTTTGATTTTGTAATATAAAACTCTGAGGAGTCAATACTTTTGTGTTCCCAAATTGTGGATGAAGAAGTATATGTTCCGTGTAGAGGCTGATACAGGATAGAACTGGCTAACATGAGGATCAGGTTGTTATAAATGTAACTTTGTGTTTCTTCGTACTCTGTAGTTGGATGCCCATACAACTCATCGTTGTATGGGCAACAACTGATGGTTGGCTGCAATATTGCTGACTGTTAAACAACCTTCAGTCAGTATGCTGAAAACAGAAGTACTGGGGCGGTATTCACAAAGATTCTGGTGCTCCTTACAAGTGGAAACTTGGGGGATTATGTGTCCTTGATGTTGTGCCATAATTTGGAAAGCCATGATGTCAGATGTTGCTCTGGTCATTATGGCCTTCCACAGCCCTCAGACCATTAGTCTGCCCGCCCAGATGACACACTGGAAGTAAATGCATTATACCATAGAACTTGATATGGTAGAAAGAATTAGAGTAGACAATGTTTCATTAGTAGCAGGAGTAATATCCGGCCCTCAGAACATTGATTTGTACAAGAGGATGATCATATGATTATCTAGAGTTTTTCTAGGAGCTTTGACAATCAGACAGTGCTGATTGATTGTCAGCAAGGAGACTCAGTGTGAAGAAGACAACAATTTATCAAAATGTATTCCATAATTTTCGTTAACATTCATCACCTGAGGAAGACTGTAGAAAAGGTCCAAGTTCCCAATGCTTGTTGTTATTTACTGGTAGGCGCTACTTGATGCTGGAGTCATCACTGATTAACAAGATGTATTAGCTTGCTGATCAAGTCTTATTGTACTCACGCAGCATTGATAGTGAATTAATTTCTCACAGAATGCCCCCATGGGGAGTTAAAATTGGTCCCCAGCAACCTGTACTTGTCATCCAAGTCTACTTGGGTGGTGAGGCTCAGTGATTTGGGTGATCCTATGTCCTCAGCAGTAATATTGCTGAGAGCTGTGTAAGACACAACACACACTCTTAATGGATGCCATGGTAAGACATGTCTGACTATCACAACACACAGTTAAATGTCTCCCTGAGACAGTTGTAAACACAGTACTCTATCAAGTCTGAAGTATACAAGCCTGTGGTTGACAGCGCGAGCATCATGGTTTCAATAACACAATCAGACAGGTCGCACATTGTACCAGCTAACTTCATACGACAAGCATTGGGTGCTGGGCATGTTTTCTGTCAGGGAATTCCCACAAGGGACCAACATGTTTGCAAGCCTGAATCATTGTATGAGATAAACCACAAGTGCTTAATTGTTGCCTGATGTTTGGGTAATGTTAGAATTTCAGAACCCTCGACTGCATAGAGTAAAATTATTATACCAGTGTTCTGTTTTCATCTGCATGTTTATAATGGACACTTTGCAGAAAGCACTTAAGGAAAAGGAAGAGCATATAGAACAACTGTTGAGAGAGCGAGACCTCGAAAGAGCTGAAGTGGCAAGGGCAGCTGCGCAGGTGGATGAGGTAAGGGAGATAACTTTCTTGTGACCACAGAGGAGAACATGCCTATTTGACTGAGTGTTGAAGACCATTTATTGGTGTACAATATTCAGTATGACTATTCACTCTATGTGTGTGTGTTCAGTTCGACAATTAAATGTATGTCCAGTTTGACCATTGACTGTGAGAGTTATGTCCAGTTTGACCATTGACAATGAACTTGTATGTCCAGTTTGACCATAGACTGTGAGCTTGTATGTCCAGTTTGACCATAGACTATGAGCTTGTATGCCCAGTTTGATCGTTGACAATGAGCTTGTATGTCCAGTTCGACCATAGACTATGAGCTTGTATGTCCAGTTTGACCGTTGACAATGAGCTTGTATGTCCAGTTTGACCATAGACAATGAGCTTGTATGTCCAGTTTGACCATAGACTATGAGCTTGTATGTCCAGTTTGACCATAGACTATGAGCTTGTATGTATAGGCTGAGGGTGAACTGACCCACGTGAGGCAGGACAAGGAACGGATCCTGGCTGACAGTGAGACACAAATCCTGCAGCTGAGGGCCATTGTCCTGGAGTATGAGAAGGAGAAGAAGGCAATGACTGTCAAGCTGGAGGAAGAGAGGAGGTCAGTGTGTTAAACAACATTCACTCACTCTTATGTAGTAATGTATTGTCATGTTGTGATTACCTCATTAAGACAAGTATATCATTCTGATGATTACCCCCAAAAGGACAAGTATATCATTGTGACAATAGCCCCCATTAGGACAAGTGTATCATTGTGACAGTAGCCCCCATTAGGACACGTATATCATTGTGACAGTAGCCCCCACTAGGACAAGTATATCATTGTGACAATAGCCCCCATTAGGACAAGTATATCATTGTGACAATAGCCCCTATTAGGACAAGTATATCATTGTGACAGCAGCCCCCACTAGGACACACATATAATTGTGACAATAGCCCCCACTAGGACAAGTTTATCATTGTGACAATAGCCCCCACTAGGACAAGTGTATCATTGTGACAATAGCCCCCATGAAGACAAGTCTATCATTGTGACAATAGCCCCCATTAGGACAAGTATATCATTGTGACAATAGCCCCTATTAGGACACGTATATCATTGTGACAATAGCCCCTAATAGGACAAGTATATCATTGTGACAATAGCCCCCATTAGGACAAGTATATCATTGTGACAATAGCCCCCATTAGGACAAGTGTATCATTGTGACAATAGCCCCCATTAGGACAAGTGTATCATTGTGACAGTAGCCCCTAATAGGACAAGTATATCATTGTGACAATAGCCCCCATTAGGACAAGTATATCATTGTGACAATAGCCCCCATTAGGACAAGTGTATCATTGTGACAATAGCCCTCATTAGGACAAGTATATCATTGTGACAATAGCCCCCATTAGGACTAGTGTATCATTGTGACAATAGCCCCCATTAGGACAAGTATATCATTGTGACAATAGCCCCCATTAGGACAAGTATATCATTGTGACAATAGCCCCTATTAGGACACGTATATCATTGTGACAATAGCCCCCAATAGGACAAGTATATCATTGTGACAATAGCCCCCATTAGGACAAGTCTATCATTGTGACAATAGCCTTCATTAGGACAAGTATATCATTGTGACAATAACCCCCATTAGGACTAGTGTATAATTGTGACAATAGCCCCCATTAGGACAAGTGTATTATTGTGACAATAGCCCCCATTAGGACAATTATATCATTGTGACAATAGCCCCCATTAGGAGACGTATACCATTGTGACAATAGCCCCCATTAGGACACGTATATCATTGTGACAATAGCCCCTATTAGGACAAGTATATCATTGTGACAGTAGCCCCCATTAGGACACATATATCATTGTGACAATAGCCCCTATTAGGACACGTATATCATTGTGACAATAGCCCCCAATAGGACAAGTATATCATTGTGACAATAGCCCCCATGAAGACAAGTGTATCATTGTGACAATAGCCCTCATTAGGACAAGTATATCATTGTGACAATAGCCCCCATTAGGACTAGTGTATCATTGTGACAATAGCCCCCATTAGGACAAGTGTATTATTGTGACAATAGCCCCCACTAGGACAAGTATATCATTGTGACAATAGCCCCTATTAGGACAAGTATATCATTGTGACAGTAGCCCCCATTTGGACAAGTATATCATTGTGACAATAGCCCCCATTAGGACAAGTATATCATTGTGACAGTAGCCCCCACTAGGACAAGTGTACCCGGGTATCATTGTGACAATAGCCCCTATTAGGACAAGTATATCATTGTGACAGTAGCCCTCGTTAGGACAAGTGTATCATTGTGACAATAGCCCCCATTAGGACAAGTGTATCATTGTGACAATAGCCCCCATTAGGACAAGTGTATCATTGTGACAATAGCCCCTATTAGGACAAGTATATCATTGTGACAGTAGCCCTCGTTAGGACAAGTGTATCATTGTGACAATAGCCCCCACTAGGACAAGTGTATCATTGTGACAATAGCCCCTATTAGGACAAGTATATCATTGTGACAGTAGCCCTCGTTAGGACAAGTGTATCATTGTGACAATAGCCCCCATGAAGACAAGTCTATCATTGTGACGAAAACCCTATTTGGACAATGTCATTCTTCTGGCGACTCATTTAGGTAAGTGTTTCAATGTGATAGCTTGTCTGTGTAAAAAAGTTATCTGAATGTCTAGGAAAACAAGTATATCAACAAACATATGCCCCAGGCAGTGAGGTACATGCTGTATTTATTATAAGCTATGCTACCTGAACACAAGTTCTGGGACTGGAGCCCTATGTTGAGTGATTCCCAATCTTGATGTGTTCCCAGGAAGGTGGAAGATCTGCAGTTCCAGATTGAGGAGGAAGTAATCAGCAAGGATGATCTGGAGGTAAGGGAGCAGTATACTGTATAGAGATCAGAACACTTGATGAAGAAACTTCCTATGTGGATACCTGGTATCCCCTCATTGTCTTTGTCAACTGGATAATCAGGAGTGAATGGTTAATATTATTACTATATGTGACCTGGCTGGTCATTATCTGAGACTGTTCATCATTGCTCATGTTATGAACCAGGTGTTTGCCTTACCTAGGCTTGGTTATGTGCCGTGATGTACCGGTAAGACAACATCCACTCACTCTCGACTGAGCTTCCTTTGTGTTCATCTTGTTTACATTTGATCATAATTTTCTGTCAGTGTCGAACTGAAGAAGATGAGGCCAAATTGCGGGAGCTGGAACGCGGCCATAAGCGTGAGAAGGAGCGAGCTGACAAGTTGGAGCAGGAGTTGGCAGCTCTCAAGGTGAGTCTAGAACCAGGATACAGGTATGGACCTACTGTAGCTGTAGTGCCACATCACTTGTTGTCTCCCTGTTTTGAAAAATGGGGAATATAGCCATCAGCATATCTGTCCATCAGCCGTCTGTTTTCTGTCTCCGGGGGAAGAACTCCAAAATGGTTGAATGTTTCTAGAATAAACTTCTTTGATAGGTATTTAGAAGTTGGAGTACTAAGTAAATTCTTATCCTTACTTAGAATGAACTTGTTATGCAGATTAGTCCAGTGGTAAACTGGTGCCTTTTGATGATTGGGGATATTAAAAAATAATGAAGGTTTTACCTTGACTAATATAAATGATAATTTTAAGGCTCCTTGCAGGCGATATGAGGGTCCTGTAAAGTAATGTGATGGTGTAGTATACTGTATGTTTTCATAATTACTTTAGAGTCAGGAATGAATCAATGATCATGTGGACAGTGGTCATGATTGATGGATGAAATAAGACACCTTTATCTGCACTTGATGCGTTGTAGGTGCATTGAATATTATTGTGCATCCTCGGCACATTTGTGCTTTGCATAAAACCCTGATTGAACGGAACATTTCCAATGGCGGAGAGCAAAAAGTGGGGAGTAAGTAGCCAAACTCCATTGCCGAGTTGCACCTGAAGGTTAGTTGTGTTAAATGTAATGCAGTGTTAAAGATAGTTTACTGTCACACATGTAATATTGCCAGATGTGAATGAGTAAAACTATTTGAAATAAGTTCTTAGTTTTGACTTTACCGGCAGATATTCTATCTCAAGAAACTTCAAGACTAATGTTAAATGGACACCTTTGGCCCCTCATCTTCCCGAGGCAAGGGAGTTTACTGACCATAAAAGTCCAATTTTAGCCCTTGCCAGACTAGGCTGGAATTATGAAGTTATGTTTTGCTGGACTAACAAGTCTATGCACAGTCCAATCAAACTCATGTAACAAAATCGACATCCGCCTTGGTGTTTGCAGACATTGACTGAATTTTTGAATTGGACAGGAAATGGTTGCCCAGCAACAGACAAAACTGAAGACTAGTGATGAAACTCAGACAACCTACTTGGATCAGATGGAGGAACTCACCTACAAACTCACCCAGGCTGAGAACAAGATTAAGACGTTTGAGGCGTCAAGACTCGAGGAAGGTGCTAAGGTAGGAGAAGGTCATGGAGGATGTGTATCAAGTACAGTTCGTTAGATCGGCAATCCAACCGAAATATTTCTGGCATCAAAGGTTTGAATCCCATATTGGCTGTGATTATGATTGTCGGTCTGTTTGCACCCCCGTTCACTGGTTTCACCACACTTGTAGATATCTTCAGCATCGGTCTCTGTGGCTTCCTTGAGGCTGACATGCTGACATGCCCTCATACAAGGAGCATGGAAATACTTATAGGTAATTTAAAACTTACTCATTTCAAGGCACTATTACATCTGATTGTCACAGCTTAACCGCAGCTAAATCAGAGAGAACTTGATATTTGGTGCTCCTCTCTCCCCCAATAGAGGGGCGGTCGGGTAGCCTAGTGGTTAAAGCGTTTGCTCGTCATGCCAAAGACCCAGGTTTGATTCCCGACATGGGTACTATGTGTGTAACCCATTTCTGGTGTCCCCCGCCGTGATATTACTGGAATATTGTTGAAAGCGGCGTAAAACCATACTCCCTTCCTCCCTCCCTCCCTCCCTCACCAATGGAGGAGCAATATATGTTGCTTCACGAGGAATGTTGTGCTGCCATTCAGGACTTTGCTTTCTTTTCTTGAAGAATATGCATTGACGTGTTTCACTTTCAGTGCCATCATAGATGCTGATAGAATATATTGATGTCAAAAACAATGTTTGAACATATGAACAGTGTCATTCTTAAAAGGCTATTATCAGTGGTTGCTTTATTGAAGTTGATAACCAACTCAACATATGCACTTTTCACAGTGGAATGGAGATACCCAACTGTGTTGTCAATGGAGAGCCCTTATGTCTGTAGACTTGATGATGCTTAATTTAACATAGGAAAACCCAATACATACCTGTATGTTTTGTTCCAAATTATACAATTTAGCGCTGTAAAAACCTGAGAATGAAAATGTTTGGTGTTATATCCCTTTGACCATGATGTCTCAATTTTAGACAAGCCAGGTGAGCATGGATCTTGCAGAGAAGACGAACCGGGTGGTGGATTTGGAGGAGGCCTTGTCGTCACAGAGGAAGGAGATTAAACAGCTCCAGGACAAGCTGGTAGAAGTGGTATGTTGTAGGCTAGCTGTAGGCCTAGTGTCTTGCAGACTGACTAGAATACGTGGATAAGACCTATGTTGGTAGTACATGCTAGACTCTCATAGACAGTCTCTATAATGTGTGATTCCCCCCAGATGGGAGTCACTGTATCTTTGCTATACCATCAAACAATAAATAATTTTTTTGTAAATGTGGATTGCCTTTACATCGTGTTACTGTTTAGGTTACTACTAGTAATGACAAAAACATCTGTATATGCATATATGATCTTTCTTTGTTCAATGAGTATGAATATGAGGTTTTCTAGTAAAATCAAGGTATTTTTTTAAGAAAAATCAAAGTTTAAACTTACTTAAGTTGCTATTTTTTGTCATCTTGAAAATCTATTTGTCTGGCTTTGCTTGAGTTTTGCTTTTTTTTCATCACTTTTCCACCATTTTTTAAGATTTTGAATCTGTTTTACTGAAAACATTCTGCAAGGCTTCAAACCACCATAAACAACATCTGCGTAGAAATATTTGAATGATATTGAATTCTTTAGGTTGCTGATCTTTTGCATGCCATGATTGGTTTTGTGTCCAAGTCAAAATAGATACTGCACTTCAACCTGAATCGTTCATTTAGCTTCGTTCATCTATCACAAGATGATGGTGAGGCAGTACCCGAGTAGCATGGCCCAGTGAGGAGTTGTCAGCATTCAGTGTAGTGTCCCTGTGTGCCTGTGTGTGCCTGTGTGTGCCTGTGTGTGCCTGTTTGCCTGTGTGCGGGGTCACCACAGCAGCACGCTGGGTTACTTACAGTTGGCTGTACAGTTGACTTGGTCATTACAAATGTCATTGGAGAAATGTATCTTCTTCTTTAAGCTATCTTATGTTGAACTTTTACAAGTTTCAATCTGACATTTTTAATGCGAAGTCTGGAGTACAGTGGAAAGATGTGACTTCAGATATGTCTGTTTCATGAAAGGAAAATAAAATCATAGCAAGAATGTTCACTAGATGACAGAAAGCTAGGGCAAACTATTTTGATTAATGTTATGTCTTATTTTGGTATGTGTTTCTAACAAATCAATGTTTGTGCTGTTGAAGTTGTTTTGGATTTACATATGATATTTAAGGTCAAGAAACTTGTGAAAGATCATGAGAATTGCTGATGTTATTAATGAATAATTACTCTCCATCTCCCTTAGCTGCGAGGGTTGCGCGACCTGATGCATCTGTTTGAAGACGAGACAAACTTCGTTCGCCACTAACACTAGTGTAGCCCCCATACTAACCTCATCAATACATAGGTAAGGGTAGGCCACACAGTAATATCAAGCACTTCAGTATCTTATATATCTGGCTGCTCTAGTTTGAAAATAAAATGTTTGTTATCACACTGAAGACAATTGCATTGATTACTGCATGTTTTAATTGTCATCAGCATAATGTTTTTTTTTATAGTTTTGCCACTCTGTAGAAATGACTTTTTCAATGAAAGATGTTTCACTCTGATAAAGAGATAATTGTACCCAGTTTCAAAATTAGATATTAATGCCAAAGTCCATACCTATCACTGTCTCTGTTTTTCTGAGAAAAGTAGATGTTATTTTATGATGATGAGTTCATAGGAAGCAAATTATATATCCACAAAATTACCTTCATTGTAAAACAACTATCTATTCACGGGCAGCAATTATGCATACATTAAGAAGGATTGTTTGCTGTTATTTAATAACAAGAAAGATCAAAATCGCCTCCCTTGTTTTACTCATCCGAAATTGCCATGAACAAGTAACCAATTTTGTTATGCATCATGTATTTTCAACCCTTTTGTGATTGGCTTAGCTTTGATCCACACTTTTAACAAGTGAATGTTGGACAGCTAGCAGGAACTGTTTGCTTGATACTATACTCAACTTAGAGCAGCTAGTGATGTGTTTTGATGCATGCTCCAGGCATTGTTTGTGAACAAAATATCCATGTGCATATTATTCTGTTTTGTTTAAAATACTCAGCATTGTGTGTCATGTCTGGTGATGGAAGAGACATTTTGTTGTCTTTATTGTTTGAGAATAATCAGATGTGATTAACAAGTGAATTTCAAAATTGTAAGAAATTAAATATTTATAAGCAATATTTGAAAGTAAAACTAAAATCCTGTTTGAATTTTGAATTTGTATATTCATGTCTTATAAGTATTAAATCTGAGAGAATATATGTAAAAGAGGGAGACCTAGCAAGATGATTCAAGTGAGACACTGCTTTATTATGGTACCAATGTACATTTAATAACAATCCTGTAGTTATGTTATTAATATACAAATATCAATGTCTCACACATGGCACAAATGATTATTCATGAAGGGGCAGTAGACTATAACAAAATCTCAAAATCAAAATCAAGTTGTTCCAGTTATTGTACATTTGATAAATATGATCTGTTATGTACCAATAAATGTTAAATTTAGTAAAAAGTAGTGAATATGGGGGTAAGAATGTAGGTGGAAAGTAATTTTCATATCATGTGTGGCAAATACAGGTGAAGACATGCATGCCATTTTTGGCACTGAAGCAAATTTGTTTATATTTTTTGGTCTGAGTTGTCTTCCATATATCCTGGATGTATTTGGATACTGGACAATATTGCTTTGTGTGGTCTTTCCCTTCCTATGTTAATCCATGTTGACTTGTCCACCACCCCTGAATGCAGTTTGTTTTCAGATTGAGGTTTGCATGAAACGGGCTTGTCTGATGAGTTTTTCAACCTGTGTCAATTATGAAATAATCTTAACGAATAAATTTCATCATGTTAAAATTTAAGGATATTATTCTGCCAATGTTTTTATGCTTAGAATTATTTGGATATGACATTCAAGAATATCAGCATAATAAGATAATACAAACATACAAAGGCAAAACAGCTTTTTCTTAATTGGTTTACAGATTTTGCAAGCCCTAAGAAAAGGACAAGTGGAAAAATATGTCTGAAAATACTTTTTTTTATGCAAGCACAATAAAAGAATTGTGCATCCACTCAGCTGAACCACAAGACAATAGGTTACAACAGATTAAACAAGACAAACTTCACTAGCTCATATTCAAATAACTTTTTGAAGAACAAACAATATCATTAATTATCTTATTTATTATATTATTTTTGCCCCATGCTGACAAGAGTTTGTCACACACATGAAATCTGTAAACCAAGAACATTAAAGGGAGTTCTGATCATTGTAGCACCAAGATTGCTTTGTGGAGTATGACACAAGTATAGAGACATTGGCACTTGTTAGAGTTACTGTATGTAGAGTGAATAGCTGGGTTGAATGTTCTTATGAGTTCTCCCCTTGTGACGTTACCCAGTAGGAATTTCGTATTCAAGCTTGTCACAAGAGATGATTAACTGAGGGTCTGGTAGTTATCAGTGTGACCTGGTTGAGTGTTCCTTTACAACATGGTTGATGCTCATGCTATCACCAACTGGTTTGGCCAGTACAGGTCGCCGCGATGTAACAGGAATATTGCTGACTTCAGCATAAAACAACAGTCACTTCAATGAAGTTATCGTGTACTTGTCACAGGGCTTTCTGGTGAGAATAGGTTCATGTGATTGGGAGTACACAATCACTGCTATATATGTGTAGTCCTTTGATGGATGGACCAGCAGGGAAGACAAACTGTCATTTGCCATTGTGTCACATGATGCTGAATTAAGTTTGTTAAAGGTTATCTCCCCTTCATATCCTGAACCAAGGCAAATGATTTGAAAATTTTCTGAAGTTGAACTGTGATTTGTAAAAGAAAAAGACTAATGCAGCCTTCACTCTAGATTCAGTAAAATGTCTTGTTTTAGGTTTTAAGATTAATGAACATTTTGAGAAATTTTCTATCAGGTTCTTTATTGTTAGTAAAATTATGTGATTAATTGAGATAATAGACGTAAAGAATCTCACATTTGTTAAAATGTCTTCTTCAGAACCTGCTATCAGCTATTGTATTGGGTAAAAAGTGTTACATGATGTTGATGTTGAGAGTGTTACTTATGCAGTGTGTGAGAGGCTTATAACACTTGCCGTGAATCATCAGAGAAGGGCACAGGACATACAGCGAGGGCAAATATTTATAAAAGTATTATTATTATTCATGCATTAGATATTAAACATTATTGAAAAATGAAATTGGAGATTGACATATATGATCATAAATAGGTTTAAAAAAAATTGAAGTGGTAAGAAGTATACTGTTTTCCTGTGCCCTGCCTGATCCTCACCTGTTATACTGTTGTATTTGTGACCACGGAAAACTGTCAGCTTCAGTCCACAGAGTTGAGACAATTTTTTACACTTTACACACCTTTTCAAAATGTTTTTACGCTTTTGACTTATTTTATCAGTCTGCAACTTTAGCCATTTGTCCGAAGCCAAAGTCAAATAAAATGTCTTCTTTTGATCAAGAAAGCTTAGTTTATGACAGCCCATATGCAAAAAGTAATATCTGCTGAAAGAGATGGAAAGGACAGGTTCAATAAGAAGACTGTAAGTTCTTTTGCACAGACTATCTGGCAGGGCTGACACATTCTCCCCGGTCAATATTTCACCCTATGTTGTTTTGACATGTTCACTAATTTGTGATTTGTTTAAGCGTGCAGCGTTTTGTGATTCTTCTTCTTCTTTAAGACTTGTCACTGAGCCATGCTACTCATCTGCCCATCATACAGTAGTATTATATTACAGCATAAACTCAGCAGCGTGCAGGTATTCATTAGTCATTGACAGAGCATGCTCTTATACACTTAGCGGGAAGCCCGTCATACGAGCAGTCTGTAGGATAAGGTTTTTGATGTGGATGTAGAACATGTTTCATATGAACCCATTCTACTGGAGGATAAATAAGAAAATGATTGCTCTCAATGATTGAAACGTTTTTGCAGGGAAAGTGTCTTATGTGTATTTTTAAGAACTACTTGAGCAGAAATTAAATTGAGTACATGTGTCAGTCAGTTGGGCCTGAGATCAGAGTTTTCAGGGGTATGGGGTACTTTATATGATATTTCATTCAAAAGGATAGAACTTTATGCTTTAATTCTTTCAAACATTATTGATATGTTTAAAAAATGATAAAATGTTTTTGTACCTATAGATTTGTTATTAACATGTAAGGTATTGTTGAACAAAATAATTGGCTGTTGTGTGTTAAAGCTTTTCTTTGTATTTGATGTGGATGATAAAAGTATGTATCAGTATTTATGTGTATCATGAAAGTGTGAAGATATTGATTTTTTAGCCATGAGTAATTTGTTTATGTGGACATCATAATGAAATTTGATCTATTCTTTGTATAGGATGTAGATTCACATACACCAAAGTTGTACGGTGACCAGTGCACTAGTGTTAAAGGAAGGTGTATGACAAGGAAATATTATTTGGGTACTAAGAATATTGGGGACCATTTTTGTGAATGTGCATAACAATCAGCCCATGTTATACTTTGGCAAGTTCTTTTATTTATGAGTCTGCCTATATGGTGTCATTTTTTAACTGAGTTCATGCTCAGAAAAATGTGTAAATTGCCCTGTTGATTCTCTTGTGGTTCTTAAAATGGTTGATTTAATTTTCAAAATATATTTTAATATGTTGCCTAGTTGTTAGGGGAGGATGGGCTGGAGGGCTTGTTGGGTTGGTGGATGTATTAGGTTGCCAATTTATCTCAAAATACTTGATGAACTTTGTGTAATTTGTAAACGCATAAGAGTTCATCATTTTGTCCATTACTGTGCCACATGAGTGATGTTGTTTTCCATATGTTTGATGTATGAATGATGTTGTTTTCCATATGTTTGATGTATGAATGATGTTGTTTCCATATGTTTGATGTTTGAATGATCTTGTTTTCCATGTTTGATGTTTGAATGATCTTGTTTTCCATGTTTGATGTATGAATGATCTTGTTTTCCATGTTTGATGTATGAATGATGTTGTTTTCCATGTTTGATGTTTGAATGATGTTGTTTTCCATGTTTGATGTTTAAATGATCTTGTTTTCCATGTTTGATGTTTAAATGATCTTGTTTTCCATGTTTGATGTATGAATGATCTTGTTTTCCATGTTTGATGTATGAATGATCTTGTTTTCCATGTTTGATGTTTGAATGATCTTGTTTTCCATGTTTGATGTTTGAATTATCTTGTTTTCCATGTTTGATGTATGAATGATCTTGTTTTCCATGTTGGATGTATGAATGATCTTGTTTTCCATGTTTGATGTTTGAATGATCTTGTTTTCCATGTTTGATGTTTAAATGATGTTGTTTTCCATGTTTGATGTATGAATGATCTTGTTTTCCATGTTTGATGTATGAATGATCTTGTTTTCCATGTTGGATGTTTGAATGATCTTGTTTTCCATGTTTGATGTTTGAATGATCTTGTTTTCCATGTTTGATGTTTGAATGATCTTGTTTTCCATGTTGGATGTTTGAATGATCTTGTTTTCCATGTTTGATGTATGAATGATCTTGTTTTCCATGTTTGATGTTTGAATGATGTTGTTTTCCATGTTCGATGTTTGAATGATCTTGTTTTCCATGTTTGATGTTTGAATGATGTTGTTTTCCATGTTTGATGTATGAATGATTTTGTTTTCCATGTTTGATGTATGAATGATCTTGTTTTCCATGTTGGATGTTTGAATGATCTTGTTTTCCATGTTTGATGTTTGAATGATCTTGTTTTCCATGTTTGATGTAGGAATGATCTTGTTTTCCATGTTGGATGTATGAATGATCTTGTTTTCCATGTTGGATATTTGAATGATCTTGTTTTCCATGTTTGATGTTTAAATGATCTTGTTTTCCATGTTTGATGTATGAATGATCTTGTTTTCCATGTTTGATGTATGAATGATCTTGTTTTCCATGTTGGATGTTTGAATGATCTTGTTTTCCATGTTTGATGTTTGAATGATCTTGTTTTCCATGTTTGATGTTTGAATGATCTTGTTTTCCATGTTGGATGTTTGAATGATCTTGTTTTCCATGTTTGATGTATGAATGATCTTGTTTTCCATGTTTGATGTTTGAATGATGTTGTTTTCCATGTTCGATGTTTGAATGATCTTGTTTTCCATGTTTGATGTTTGAATGATGTTGTTTTCCATGTTTGATGTATGAATGATTTTGTTTTCCATGTTTGATGTATGAATGATTTTGTTTTCCACATGTTTGATGTTTGAGTGATGTTTGTCACATGTTTGATGTATGAGTGATGCTGTTTTCCACATGTTTGATGTATATGGGTGATGCTGTTTTCCACATGTTTGATGTTTGAGTGATGTTTGTCACATGTTTGATGTATGTGTGATTCTGTTTGTCACATGTGTGATGTATGAATGGTGCTGTTTTCCACATGTTCGATGTGTGAGTGATGCTGTTTGCCACATGTTTGATGTTTGAAGGGTCTTGTTTTCCACATGCTTGATGTTTGAGTGATGTTTGCCACATGTTTGATGTATGAGTGATGCTGTTGGCCACATATTTGAAGTAGAGTGATGTTTGCCACATTTCATCATGTTTGCCACATGTTTGATGTATGAGTGATGCTGTTTGTCACATGTTTGATGTAGAGTGATGTTTGCCACATGTTTGATGTATTAGCAAATGTTTGGCACATGTTTGATGTTGAAGTGATGTTGTTGTCCACAGCAAGATGAACTGACAGACACAAACAACAAAAAGCAGAAGATGCAGGATAACATCACAGGTAGGTTACCCCTGTACAAGCAGTCTTGTCTTTTGGTTCATGTTGCCTCACTGATCCTCCATTGCAACATATGTTATTGTGGAAATTATGCTGGAAATGAGATTGTCCACTGCTCTGACCAAACCTATAAACCTTACAACTATTTCAAATATGATTAAAGAAAGTTAATAGTAAATGTCGCCCTAGCTGGCTCGCAGTGTTTACGCAGGTGAACCCCTCAACCTGGGATGGCAGTGTGGCACCCAGACACACAATCCCCCTTACACTGATGACACACAAGAAATGCTTGATTATGTCCATGTCTGGGATGTTCAACACATTCTAGCAATTCTAGCATTCTAGCATTCTAGCACATTCAACAGAAATATAAAGATGATAGAATTTGTTGCAGCCTTTAGTATACTTGGTTGCATCTATGTCTGTTTGGTATGTGAAACAGTATATTGTGACATTCAGATATATTTGCATGAGTATAGTGTAGAGAAGTGTTTTTGTCGTTAGTATAAGAAAGTTTTGGGGTGATAGATGCCAAAAACTTTGAGTGGTGATCTTAGTTTATTTTTTCATTACTATGTTGAATTTAATGATGAGATGTGATGATGTCATTGTCTTGGTTTATTTATCATGTAGTCAGTGATTTGTGGATTCATTTATCTCCGTCCAAGATGTTTCATGGGAGGGTTGTAATGGACTTTGTCAAAGTCCAAAACATATTTATGTGAGTAAAATTGTTAAAACTTGCAGAAGATTATCCTCTTCCTCATTTGTTTATGTTAATTCTGATGGTGAACCCTGTGGTGATCCATGAGGATCACATGGTGACACTGTGTGACCTGGTCGATTGTGTGTCATGTATGCTGACAGCTGATCCTGATTGCTCGTTGCTCATGCAGTTGACCACGAGTCCACCTGTTTACAGGATTCTTTACAACAGCTTGAATACTGCTGGCGGAACATAATACAACATTCATTCACTCACACATTGATAATAACATAACTTCCAGGTATGGGGGCGATGGGGTAGCCTAGTGGTTAGAGCGTTTGCTCATCACGCTGAGGACCAGGGTTCTATTCCCCACATAGGTACAACGTGTGAAGCCCATTTCTGGTGTCCACTGCTGTGATATTGCTGGAATATTGCTAAAAGCGGCGTAAAACCATACTCCCTCACTCACTTCCAGGTATAACAATACCTGATGCAACATTGTCTGGCAAATAAACAAAGAGGTTGACATATACAAATCTTGTCATCTCTAGCAAAAATGATTCGTTTTGGGCAATCCGTAGATCAATTATAATATTTCCACATAAAAAGTATGTTCTTGTCTCTGAACATTTTGTTTTCTAGACTGCTCCCCTGATTTGGAAAATGAACAACTTTGTCTGAAGCTAAAGTTTCAAGTGCCATGCGTGTCATGTTATGAGAACAGTGACTTATTTGCTTCAGTTTTATGGTTGTTTCAATAAGAAAAAAACCTAACTGACATTTGGAAATTTGATTGGGTTGTCTGAAACATTTCTTAATGATGGCCCAATGAAACAGATTGACAGTTATGTACAATCTATGGAGTGTGTTATTCTTGTGTGTCTTGCGCATGTGTATGACTAGATGATGCACCATTTCTGTATTGTCACACTTGATTTGTCCCTGCTGTAGCCCCATAAGATTCATGTACAGTAAACTACAGTTATAACAGACTAAAAATGGACAACTAATTTTAGTTCGTTATAACCGTAGTTCGTCATAAGCATATATACAACATCTATACAGCAAATGGCCGGGACCAAAAATTAAGTGTGTAATATCCGTCAGTTTAGTATAAGTGTGTTTGTTATAAACATATTTTACTGTACATGGGTAAAATGCAGAAGAGCATGGTTAAATCAGACAAGGACATTCTGTTATGAATGCACAATCAGTAAGTCATCAAGTCATCAACTGGCTTATATTTTGACACTCTCTCAAAGTTTATAAGTGTATATTTCACAAAATGTGATTGAAAAGTAAGGATTTTAAGTTTTGTTGTAATGTTTCTTCCAATACCCGTATAACATTGTATATACAGGCCTCAGTGTACATTTGAGTGTCTGCTAAATACTTTTAAAGAACATTGGTTTAGGGTACTGTCTCACCTGCGTTTTAATGCCTTTGAATTTAGTCTCAAACATTTGGCATAAACCGGTAATATACGGCACACGTTTCACACCAAACAGTATGTGACTTGAAGGCAGACATGATTGTGTGTTGAGTAAGTTAAGATGTAACCCAGCAGTTTCAACTGTTCCTTGATGTGGTTAACCATGGCTTTCTGTATGTCTATTCAGCACTGGCAGGGGAGGGTGTGGTTTGGTTTGAGTTGTTGAGAGTGGTCCCTTTCACTGCTTGAAATATTTGTGAACTTACATTCAATGATACAAAATTGTGTTTTCAGGACCAAAACCTTTAATATTATTTCATAACCTGTTTTGAACCTATTGCATTATTGATAAGGTGTTGGTGTAAGTTCACAATTTCTTCACCTAGATTTCTCTAACATGTTTTGTGTGGCAACCTTTCAGACCTGACTAACAAACTTGAAGTGAATGAAAAAGCCCAGTCTAAGCTCTCGGAGGAGGTCCGTTCCCTGAAGTCGCGGGGATCAGGTGGGTTTCTTTCTGACAATGTGCCTGACTGCTTCTCCCGGCAAGCGTGGCAGTCCCTGTGGGGATTCCGTGGAAGGATCCCTTGGAAGCCTAGATTCCCATTACCTTCTGCTTCCTAACGAACTCTCTAGAGAGGATGAGGTGGTCAGGCTCAGTGATTGTTGCTCATGCTGTCAGTCACTGGTTTATCTGGACTAGACACAGCTATTTATAGGTCACTTTGATGTAGCTGGAATATTGTTGACTGTGGTATTAAATAACATTCATTCCTTATTCCTCTGAAAACACAAAACTGACAGGATTGGGTGGTTGCGTGTTTTGCAAGCATTGCAGGTTGTGGGTCAACATACCCTGACTATGTGGATGACTGCTCTTGCTATTAACCACTTGGTTGCCTGACACAGATGTGATTATTCTCAGTGCATGGTGATATGGCCATTCACTCATGCTCACCATCAAGTGTCTGTTCCCTGAGTACACAGGGCATTTGTAGACACTCACATGTGACGAGTTTCAGCTCTAGATATTCCTGAACCCTTTGTGTGTTGCAAAAGGCAATTATAATTGGATTATGTAGTCAAAGGCTGGTGAGTGAGTCCAGTTGGACCTGGCTAGTGTAGCAGCAGCAGGTGCTAAATGCAGCTCACTTTATTGAGCCTTGGTGTGTAATATATGCCATAGTGCATTTGGCATTGCGGACAGCTGTGATATGTCAAATACATGGCGTAACATGATGTTTAACCCCACAGTTATTTGCCTGCAGCTGAAGTGTGTGTGTGTGCATGAGCTGAATATTGCTTCTAATTTCAGGATATGTCCACATTTGGACACACATTATACAGTCAAGTCTCGTTAATCCGACACTCGTTAATCCGACAATCGGCTTTATCCGACACTAATGATGGGAACCGATTAAATCAGTGTTATTTAGACCCGTTAATCCGACAGTCTCGCACTCCGACACACCTAATTTGCAACGAATTACCGAAATCACTCATTAATCAGTCTCGATAATCCGACACAGTAATCAGCGTACTCCGTGGTCATATGCCCACGAGTACACAGCCTGTGTTTTGATGCGAGACGAATCGGCTGGTAGCTGCATATTACAACGGTTGCAGAGATAAACTTGCTTAACAATAAACAATAATGCTTTAAATAAAGAAAACAGGATAATTCACATGCTTAGATTACCTCAATCTTATTAAAATAAGATACAAGTTCTCGCTATCGACGAGGACATCCCATTACAGGTCACGTCAGAACAACCTTTCGCGAACTATGACCTACCAATGAAATGACCAGCAGGAAGTCAACGTTAGCCACTTAGAAAGCAGCTAGCTTGGGTACCAGTTTCAAAGTTGCGACTTCCATTCCAGACTATGCTTTTTTAAGTATTTTGAATCCGTCATACAGTCCGTAACAGTTGTTATGTGTTAAACTTTAGAGGTTGCATGATTAGAAAACATATTCCGCCAACAATGTAACATAACAATATGAATATTTATTTTATATTTTTTATTACGTGCTTGAATCCTTATCTATTGTGTAATTTCAGATTTTCCATCACAAACGTTCATACTACTAAATTTCCTTTATCCGACATACTTGTTAATCCGACATAATCATATGCAACCATCGATGTCGGATTAACGGGACTTGACTGTATTATGTTCACTGTGATAGATAGGATGAATTAAAGGCTATTGGCCTGTGTCTTTGGAATATAGTTTTAGTCTTGTTTCCCCATCTAAACAAAATATGTCTTTTGAAACATTCAGTTTCAGTTCTTTTAAGCATCAATTCAGGAAATATTGACAGTTCTGTAAAATGTTGTTAGCCTTTTATGCTAATATTTGGATCAAACAAGATTTTGTTCTTGTAGATATTTCAGAAATTTTGATGTGTGTATACAAATAATAATTTTGATGTTAATTATATTGTTATGAGACAAGACTAATTTGAGTCTTGTTTAATGGAATTCAAGGCTGATACGTTATGATACTGAAGAGGACAATTTGTCAAGTACAGAGAAAACATAAAAATAATGAAATGAAACTCTATGGAAAACTTTTTTTATTGTTTCTGACATTTTTTCTCTTCATGGTTGCTGGAATAAAAGTTTCGTGACTTCAGGTTCCATCAATTTCTAAATGACAATAAAAGACTGAACAGGAATCTAGATGTAGTTTTTGTTCAAATTTCTGTTAATGGTACAAGGATATTGTCACATTTATTTAGCTCAGCAAAATATTTTGAATTTTTTTAAAACAGCTCCAAACAAGGGTGGGTTTGATGTACCGTAATCTTTCTAGTTAACACATCTTTGCCTTGTTACATTCTACAAAGTTAGGGAAGTGAGTACTGACATAAAAATAACAGTACAAGCAAATTGGTGTGCCTCTAAACATGATCATGCTTTATTATCAAGAGTAGTTTTGCTCCATTCTATCATGATGAACCCATTCGCTACCATGAAGTTTCATTCTTATTCAAAATGAAATGATGCTGAGAATAGCTTTCCATTCTATTTCACTTGTGTGGTAAGTGGTAAGTTACTGACAAGAGACAGTATGTCAATAACTCGTGTAATGCAATACAGCTTAAAAAAAATGCTTAAAATTATAGAAACGTATATTTGTGTACATATATAAATTAAAAGTGAAATTTGATTTTGGATTTTTTTATGTTTTCATTCGTGTGATTGGGTGGTGCATAGAAGGGAGACAACTCCGCTCAAACTATTGTTTGAGAATGGTGTTGAATGTGTGCTCCCAGAGAATGAATGTGAAGAGCGTGGCACAGTGTTGTGGAACAACAACCAATCAGCTTTGTATATGTGTTTGTTACTGACAGCCTGACAACCAATCAGCTTTGTATATGTTTGTTAGTGACAACCTCACAACCAATCAGCTTTATATATGTGGTTGTCACTGACAACCTCACAACTGAAGCCCAAGATGTTCTGTTTTGTCAGATGTATAACATGTTGCCTCTTTCCAAGCAGGACTGTAAAATTGTACCTGTAAACTGTGCCAATAAACGGGAAAATTAAACAACAGTTTCTTTCCTGAATAATGCACCCTGTTCAAACTGGAAACCTGGTCAGCCTGAGGATACCTTTAGCATGAGATCTTTGGGCGTTTGGAAGACACCTGACAATTTAATACTGTGAAAAAAAATAAATAAATAAAAATGTCTTGTTAAGATGCCTTGTCATTACAGTGTTTCTTCTTAGTTTGAAAATAAATGTGTTTCTTTCAGACCTTCAGCGACAGCTAGCAACAAGCAAGGACAAGATGGATGAGCTCACTGATGATCGTAACAGAGTTGTATGTAGCTTGTGTATCTGTGTATCTTTGGGTGTGTCCCCCCTCTGTGTGTCTGTGTTGACAGCTCACAGTCGCTTGTAGTCGCAGACTAAAACATTCACATCCAGTAGTTGTCATCCATACAGTCGAAGCAAAATCTTGGAGAGTCTCGTTCAAATGTGGTCTTGATCAATGACTCAGATTACTGGGCAGCTGGTCCCTTCATGGTTCATGATGCTTTTTGTGAAATGACTGTTAAACAAGCGAACCATGACTACTTAGTGAATTTATACATATCGTCCCATTGGTGATTTCAACTTCTAACTAGGGGCTGAATTGGATATGCTTCTGCATCAAGGCAGATTTCTTCTTTCCTCTGCATAAACAGAAATATATCTCACTACACAATCCCTACTTGTTTTCTTCTGATCACAGGCATTCTGCAACGCAATACACCTGAATGGTGATGTCATGGGATAGCAGCATCGCAGAATATGGCTTGCTTTAACCTAACAGACTCTTGAAAATTTATTGGGATAAATATTCTCGAACTTTCCAAGATTTTGCCTGGAAATGATCAGCTGAATTAATTGAATATTTTAGATCCATAGAAGCTGATTTCCTATCCATATATTGTCAATACTAGCTAGAGGATGATGTAGCACATATGAATAGTGTCCAGGGTAGTGTGACAACTTCTTGTGTCTTGGAGTAGTTCATCTGTCTTACAGCCCAGAACACTGTATGTAGAAACCTACCCTCCAAGTTCATGAAAACAGGTTTAAGGTCAAGGTATGCCTAAGAATTAACAAAGTATGATACCATATTGGATCTGGTTTTGTTTCAAGTTTAAAGCGACTGGGATGAAGTCAAGTTGTAGGTAGTGGGTTTGATAAAATGTTTGTTTTATTTAATTGTAGAGGCTATAATTAAGAGACATACACTAAGAGTACCCTGTTTGAGGATTGAATAGAGTTAGCAACTGGCTTCAGTTTATTTTGATAATTTATTAACTACTCAAGTTCATCAATAAATTGGTTTTCTGAAGCAGTCGTTAAGTAGCTATCACAATGTTGTATTTTGCAGACCTAGTACTGATTCGGTAAATGGAAGGAGTTGTCAGATTAACCCTGGTAGTTGTGGATCTCCACCTATATTCCTCCACATAACATCACTGCACCCTGTCCTAACGAGTATCTGGATGTATCATAAAGACAATGTTTATGGTGCAATCCTCTTGGATAGAGATGGGTCAATTTCAATAGGAAAAGATATGATAAATAGATTTAGAGATAAATTAAATCTTTCAGATGTATTCATACAAAAAAAATCATAAATATTTGTTCCCGAACATGGAAAATAATATATTCCTTGAAATAATACAAGTTATTTTTACAACTGTTTGCAAAGTTCACAATAACAACCTTTAAAAATAATAACTCCATCAAACAATTACAGGTCAAATTTTTGTGTGAAAGTTGATGAAATCCATCTATCATGCCTTAATGCATGCAAACAGTTGAAAGTGTGTGAAGGCCTTTACCTCGGAGTATTGTTGTTTTTGCATTTGAAACAGTTATTAGGCAAACTGACAGGTAATATTACAAATAATATAATGGTTGTTTCCATGGTAACCGAAAAACACAATGTTTGTTATATTTCTGAAGTTCTTGATCTAAAACTTGCAAGTCAAATTTAATATATTTATTTTAATAAGTGCAAGATCATCCAGGTGCCCAACTGTTTTGTTTTATTTTGGTTAAGATTTATATCCTGGCACGGAAGTGCTGAGCCTGGTTGCCATAGCTTCTAGTGTGCCTCCTCCACTGTGTTTCTATTTCAGTGTTGGCTGTCTCCACCATCTTGTGTTTCCTATTGAATATTGTCATGTAATTTGATTTGCTGTTGAGCTTTAAATGTGTTGTTTGTTTTCTGTTATCATTATTAATACTGTGAGACTGTGTGCCCCACATACATATTTCATATTTCATCACTGAAATTATTTTGTTGTCGATATCATTAATTCATAAGAATAAATCACTACAGAATTTCAGACCATCTTTCATAAAAATCACAGTGACTTTTTCTTTAGAAGTCAAATAAGGATGGTTGAAATTACAGTTTATATCAAATTGTTCAGGAAAAATCGTGTTTCAAAATTATATACATATATCTTTTTATCTTCCCTTTGTTAATTTAATTGACATGGCAAAGAGAAAAACAGATGCATATTAATGGTCATCATTGCAAATTTTCTGTCACATTTTGAAATCTGTGTATTTGCACATTTGTCATTGATCACCTAACACCTGTGGTTCATTCTCCTCCGTTCAGTGTTGGCACATCGGCTCGGCAAGTGTGTTTTTATTTTCATTTCCTTTTCCTCCCCGAAGGAAGCGCAGTTGGCCGACCTGATGAAAAACTCGGGTGATAACTCTAAGCAACTCTCACTGATGAATGACCAAGTAGCCGAGAAGACTAGGTTAGTTGTCCTAAACCCACAGCTCAGCTTGGTAATACCACTGCATGCCAGCTGCTTGCCTGCTTTACCTGGTGACTGTTGCATGCACGTTTGGTGTCATTGTTACTCACTTGTTGGTTTCATTAACAGGTTGATTTCCTTGTTTTAAAGGAGGGAGGAAGGCAAATGGATACTTAAGGACATTGGTGTGTTTCAATTACATATGGATATGTGAATTCAAGTTGATTGAGAGTATGAATACACAATGCCTTTTTAGAAAGTGGTCAAATGTCACAGATTTTATGTTTGTGGTAACGCCTTCTTTGTTAGATACAAATTCTAGTACATTTTTGGGTTGTGTCCCATCCAGGATTCAAACCGACACTTTCAGAGTGAGGCACCTAATTGCCCGCACACAAAGTTAGTGATCTCACCCACTCAGCTACTGAGGCTTCCACAAGTATGGAAGTCCCACAACTGGAAGTCTAGATCTACACAAAGTACCTGATCTAGATTACCATTTGTCCCTAATATAACATTGATTGAGAGTAACTTTGATAAATAATCTGTATTCTGTAGTGAATTATGGAAAGTTTGTAGGTTTTACAAGCAATCGGCAAAACTACACTTTGGTTTTGATCCAAAATTCAAATTTGGAGCTGGTCTTATTTAAAAACGTGTCCACAAGAACCATTTACCTTCCATTGTCAGGATTTAATGGTATTGGTTTTCTCAGAGTATGCCTTTGTTTTCAGCATGGTATTCTATTGCATGTATTGCTCATTCGTTTTCTTGAATTTTGATTTTGATTTAATCCTTTTTAATATTTGATGGGTTTGGCTTTGTGTGATGTGCTTCATCATTTTTTGCTTGTGCCATTTCACTTTTCATTATTCATGATTTCCCTTACTTTTCAGAATACTTTCCCCACATGATTAATTTGCACAATCCTCATCCTCCGGGGTTTTGTTCACTGTCACCCATTATACTGCAGACATGGGAGCTATAAATATGGGTTGTTGTAGAATCTGCTTTAAAAATATAACTGTTACCGGGTAATCTTTTATCTATTTTTATGCAATTTTCAAATACCAAAAAATCTAATCTGTAAATGAAGGACTTAGTTCATTTTTGCTTCATGCCATATTCAAGAACTTATTATGGCTTTGAAATTATCCAGATAATTCATTCTTGGCTTACATAGACAGCGATAAGATTAATGTATGGATCAATCTTGTTCCATGCTCGTTTGGCAGGGATTTATAAGAACCATTGCCTGACGCCCAGGTACAGATTTACAGGTCATTATTCGTCATTGCTCCTGGACCCATGGAGATTTAAGGTTAGAATTTGTCCCCAGTAAGCTATGCTGGTCGTAAGAAGCGACTTAATGAAATAGGTGGTCCCGGCATGTCAGTGCACCAGCAACTGATGCTCACAATATCAATCACTAGATTGTCTGGTCCAGACATGATTATTTACAGGCTATACCCGGGGTATCTGGAATGAAGCTTTCTTTGTGTGGTGTTATAACAATGAACACACAGTGCTACTGGAACATGGTCCAGTGACCATCAACTCCTGTCAAACTCTTTGAAGAAGGAATAGTCACCATGGCTTGGTTTACAGTTTCAGTGTGGGTCTACTAGTTGTAATTATTGAAATAAGGTTAATCATTAACTGATACATTGATTATACATTTCTAAATATGTGTTGAAAAAACCAAGGAAGGTGGATGTTATCCTCCCATCAATTAATTAAGCAGAACTTATATGTATTTGGAACATTATGGATAACAGAATTCATGATTGATTTGAACTAATCAATCATCATTGCAATCAATTATTTGGAACAACCAGCATGACTTGAATCCACCTAGCTGGGACTGCCGCAGACCTGCATCTCTCTAAGGCGTTATAGTCTATATAACAGTTGACAAGCCTCTCTGATGATGCATCTTCTGCTAGGTAGCAGGCAGGTGGCTGGCTTGGGGATAATGATGATCACATGCATGGGAAGTATCACACTGAGAACACTGCAAAGTTTGAATAAGCAGACCTGGCCTTGGAAACACTTGCTAACTGCATTCACAAGATAACACCTCACTTTAGGCAGTTACAGCTTTAACTTTCAATTCAGCGGTCACTGAGTTTCGTACTAAGATTTGAGTCTGCATAGGTACAATGGGTTCAGCCCTTCCTTGGGTTTTCCTAGCTGGAATGTTGCTGGAATATTTTTAGAGTGGTATAAACACATACTCATTTAATGGCAGTATGTTATTTAGAAGTTATACAGTTAAAACATTTGTTTCTTAAAACCCTGAGAAATTTTCACTCTTCTAGCAAAGACATGTGCCAAATTCTTACTTACTTGCCGTTTGCAGTACACATTTCAGAACTTTTATTCACTTGCCGTATACAGTACACATTTCAGAACTGGTATTTGCTTGCCGTATACAGTACACATTTCAGAACTGGTATTTGCTTGCAGTATACAGTACATATTTCAGAACTGGTATTTGCTTGCAGTATACAGTACACATTTCAGAACCGGTATTTGCTTGCAGTATACAGTACACATTTCAGAACCGGTATTTGCTTGCAGTATACAGTACACATTTCAGAACTGGTATTTGCTTGCAGTATACAGTACACATTGTAGAACTGGTATTTGCTTGCAGTATACAGTACATATTTCAGAACTGGTATTTGCTTGCAGTATACAGTACATATTTCAGAACTGGTATTTGCTTGCAGTATACAGTACACATTTCTGAACTGGTATTTGCTTGCAGTATACAGTACATATTTCAGAACTGGTATTTGCTTGCAGTATACAGTACATATTTCAGAACTGGTATTTGCTTGCAGTATACAGTACATATTTCAGAACTGGTATTTGCTTGCAGTATACAGTACACATTTCAGAACTGGTATTTGCTTGCAGTATACAGTACACATTTCAGAACTGGTATTTGCTTGCAGTATACAGTACACATTTCAGAACTGGTGTTTGCTTGCAGTATACAGTACACATTTCAGAACTGGTATTTGCTTGCAGTATACAGTACACATTTCAGAACTGGTATTTGCTTGCAGTATACAGTACACATTTCAGAACTGGTATTTGCTTGCAGTATACAGTACACATTTCCGAACTTGTATTTGCTTGCCATATACAGTACACATTTCAGAACTGGTATTTGCTTGCAGTATACAGTACACATTTCAGAACTGGTATTTACTTGCAGTATACAGTACACATTTCAGAACTGGTATTTACTTGCAGTATACAGTACACATTTAAGAACTGGTATTTGCTTGCAGTATACAGTACATATTTCAGAACTTGTATTTACTTGCAGTATACAGTACACATTTCAGAACTGGTATTTGCTTGCCATATACAGTACATATTTCAGAACTTGTATTTGCTTGCAGTATACAGTACATATTTCAGAACTTGTATTTACTTGCAGTATACAGTACACATTTCAGAACTGGTATTTGCTTGCCATATACAGTACATATTTCAGAACTTGTATTTGCTTGCAGTATACAGTACATATTTCAGAACTGGTATTTGCTTGCCATATACAGTACACATTTAAGAACTGGTATTTGCTTGCAGTATACAGTACATATTTCAGAACTTGTATTTACTTGCAGTATACAGTACACATTGCAGAACTGGTATTTGCTTGCAGTATACAGTACACATTGTAGAACTGGTATTTGCTTGCAGTATACAGTACACATTTCAGAACTGGTATTTGCTTGCAGTATACAGTACATATTTCAGAACTGGTATTTGCTTGCAGTATACAGTACATATTTCAGAACTGGTATTTGCTTGCAGTATACAGTACATATTTCAGAACTGGTATTTGCTTGCAGTATACAGTACACATTTCAGAACTGGTATTTGCTTGCAGTATACAGTACACATTTCAGAACTGGTATTTGCTTGCAGTATACAGTACACATTTCAGAACTGGTGTTTGCTTGCAGTATACAGTACACATTTCAGAACTGGTATTTGCTTGCAGTATACAGTACACATTTCAGAACCGGTATTTGCTTGCAGTATACAGTACACATTTCAGAACTGGTATTTGCTTGCAGTATACAGTACACATTTCCGAACTTGTATTTGCTTGCCATATACAGTACACATTTCAGAACTGGTATTTGCTTGCAGTATACAGTACACATTTCAGAACTGGTATTTACTTGCAGTATACAGTACACATTTAAGAACTGGTATTTGCTTGCAGTATACAGTACATATTTCAGAACTTGTATTTACTTGCAGTATACAGTACACATTTCAGAACTGGTATTTGCTTGCCATATACAGTACATATTTCAGAACTTGTATTTGCTTGCAGTATACAGTACATATTTCAGAACTTGTATTTACTTGCAGTATACAGTACACATTTCAGAACTGGTATTTGCTTGCCATATACAGTACATATTTCAGAACTTGTATTTGCTTGCAGTATACAGTACATATTTCAGAACTGGTATTTGCTTGCCATATACAGTACACATTTAAGAACTGGTATTTGCTTGCAGTATACAGTACATATTTCAGAACTTGTATTTACTTGCAGTATACAGTACACATTGCAGAACTGGTATTTGCTTGCAGTATACAGTACACATTGTAGAACTGGTATTTGCTTGCAGTATACAGTACACATTTCAGAACTGGTATTTGCTTGCAGTATACAGTACATATTTCATAACTGGTATTTGCTTGCAGTATACAGTACACATTTCAGAACTGGTATTTACTTGCCGTTTACAGTACACATTTCAGAACTGGTATTTGCTTGCAGTATACAGTACACATTTCTGAACTGGTATTTACATGCAGTATACAGTACACATTTCAGAACTGGTATTTGCTTGCAGTATACAGTACACATTTCTGAACTGGTATTTACATGCAGTATACAGTACACATTTCAGAACTGGTATTTGCTTGCAGTATACAGTACATATTTCAGAACT